AAACCAGGCCTAGTTTCTGCTAGCTGCTCAGTTAATAGCCGATGTACAAGAAAACGTTTATTTGTGCCCATCCCCAAAAAAGTAACAGGAAACAGTTGACTACAAGGGAGGCTTCGCTTCATTGAGAATCCTTGGTGTGGGTGGCATCACCGTTGGCCGTGCTCTTGGACCCTTCGGGGTAATCACATTCGCCGTTTTCGCAGTCTTTGCCGTAGTTTTGGGTGGCGTGGCAGGCGTCGCCGTAGCACACGAACGCGCACACCCCCGAGTCACAGCCGAACCCGTAGAAGGGTCCGTTGGTGCACACCGGGGTGTTGCACTTCCTGAAGTTGTAGTAGCCAACACATCGGCCGGCATCGCAGCCACCCCAGTAGCCACAGTTGCCACCCTTGCAGCCCCGCTGACCTTGAGCGCCGTGGGCCCAACCGTCGTAGAGACCCTTCTGCGCCGGCTTCTGGGTGCTCTTTGGGTGGACACCGTACCCCCCGTAGCCGAAATTGCGACACCCAAGCCCGTAGCAGACGTAGTCGCAGACACCGTCATGGCAACCGTAGCCAATGTAGCGACCGGAGTAGCAGACGGGCTCAGAGCAGGCGTCGAAGGAGTAGTCCCCGCCGCAGCCGTTTCCAACGCAGCCGAAGCTCGTGGCAACGAAGCTGGCCAGGACGATAAGAATAGCACTTTGCATGTCGATGCTTCTCTGATGTGAGATGACCCCAAGCTGCACTGTTGCCTCTTTTATATATGTACATGTGAACGTACCCTGCACTCCTTCCAGCACGCGTCGTTCGATAAGTTCAACAAGTTTCAATAGGTCATGTCGCAGTTACCGAGAGAGCAACCCGATCAGCTACAATGCCGAATTCCGAGATTCTGCAGTGTCATATCAACCATCAAGCACACACTGTTCACACGATTTAGCACCACTTAACCTATGTTAAGGTTGAAATGCGTTCTGGGGAGGATTAGTCGCTGAATTAGCACTAATCAAGACAGTGAATAAAACCGCAAACTTTGTCTTGTTATCGATTCAACTAATTAAACCTCAAAATAGCAGCTCAAGTTGTGGTAAAATATCGGGAGTCCTATGAGGCTAGACTGAAGTTTGTAAATTAAAGGTGTAAAACCAAAAAACGGAGCAAATTTGTAAGATTTTTGCCGGATATCTAGAGCTCCTGGTGAGGCATTTGAGCAAGTGAACGGACATGGGCTAAATGTTGTCTAGTTCAAAGGTCAAATGCTCTGCCAATGACTGCCCCGTAGTCTGTTTCCGTGTTCTGCTACATAGGGTTGCTTAAAACCTTCGTTTTTTGTCAAATTTACAGTCAAAGAGTCATCATCACGATATCTCTACAACTATGGAAACATTCCCGCCACAAGGTCGTGGAAAGAATGTGATGGTTTGGAAGTGTGGAAGAAAGCGCTGACAAGTCCTTCCATTAGTAAGAATTTAGGGCGACACATTCAATCACTATAATTCAAGCGTAAACTCTACCGTACTTTGAAGTTCTGCAAAGATTTCGACCAGGTCTCGCTCGGAGGCTACAGAGTACCACTTGAACAAGTGTTATAAATTGCCACAAGATTATTTATTTCAATTTCCACGCCAGGAAATCTGTTCGAAATCGGCAGCTCCGTTGCTATGAGCGAGAAACTGAATAAGATGTCAGAAAACATGACGCGATTCAACAAGACGTGATTTGATGGCTTCATAAACACAATTGTGACCACGTTTTGTGTCGGGGTGCAGTTTACAAAGAAAATGACGATGATGAAGTCTGGAGTTGTCGTAACCACGGCTCACGAGTTGATGGCGGTGCCTGGGTCTGTGGACAGTGTCGGTAAAGCGAAGTTCCAGTCCAGGCAGTGACGTCGACTACGAGGTGTAAGAGGGTTCGACAATGCATTCCGACGATGGACCAGCATATCGGCGACCTGATGAGACTCATTGCAATTTAATAACCGTCGTCAAACACCAGGAAAACTACATTGATTTGATTTCAGACGCATTGTAGATCAGTATTTGTTCTCGTTAGGACAATCACTACATTAAAACAACCAGGCCCACGCTTGTCACCTTTGGAGAAGTCAGCGTTTGGCGAGCGTCATCGGACTTTACAAGGTGTCAGAATCTACATCTAATAAGTGTAGTTAATCAAAACATCAGAAAAAACCCCTGGACGTGACCTCAAGGGCAAGCTACTGCTTTCCCCTCCCACGCGATTAAATCTGACATTTTTGATCTAATTGGTTTCGCAAATTTGAATGATTTCACTAGATAACACAGACATTCGCTTGGTTTGGCGACGTAATTCACATGGAAATAGCCCGATACATCTGTGAAAAGTTTTTTTCGACCGTAGTTTGTCTAAAAAGTTGAAAACACCATAGAACATGAACATAACTCCGTCAAAAATAGCAATAATGCAAGCGACCTGACAAGGCCACAATTTCACTCAAAACCAAAAATCCGCCCCACTGTCAAAAATCAATATTTTTGCATCTGAACTGATCTCAGCTGATTGAATTTAAGAGCATTTAAAGTTTGTGAACAAAGCTCACAGCCTACTCGAACACAACTCGTTTAAGTCCACCAAGAGCTGTGTGTACTTAATTGATCGCGTTTCACATTTCCCCCGTTTTGGGTATATGCCTTCTCCCTCAAATTAATGAGTTTCCTTTCCAAAAAAATGATGACATACTATGACAATCGAAACACTTGACACCCTAGTTACCAATACCGACAAAAATTGTCTGTGGGCACTTAGAAAAATCGGTGAGGTCACAAGCAAATTAAAGGTCACTCCATTCTTATTGGTTGAAAGTGCACACACGCACACACAATCGCTAGAGTGCAGCATCGCACAAGTTCGATTTGATTCAGCATCGATTGAAACAAGTCCCGACTGGTATAAATGTATGCCTCAAGGCGCATTTGCTCTATCGGCAGTAAGACAGCACTATGAACGGTCTTTTTGTGGTTTTCCTCGCTTGTCTGGCATCGCCCTCATTGGCCTGCTACGGAAACGGTTGCAATGGCAGATACAACTTCCAGACATGTACCACCCCAGTCTGTCACTACGGCAAGTACATTGGTTACGGCTGTCGCCACGGCATCTGCCCCGTTGTCTGCCTCGGTGTTGGCTGCCGCGGTGTCAGTGGTGTCACCCCGCGATCTCTGGAACGCAGCGGCTTCTACGGTGTGTGGGGCAACGGCGCCTACGGACACCGCGGTTGCTATGGAGGTAACTGCGGGTACTGGGCCGGTTGTTTGAACGGACGTTGTGGCGGCTACTACGACTTTAGGCGCTGCAGAACGCCCATGTGCGTCAGTGGACCCTACCATGGCTACGGCTGCGCTAACGGTGTTTGCAGATTCATCTGCTTCCAAAACGTCTGCCACACACCATACGCGTATGGTCTTCGATGCTACGGACCCAGTTGTGACAGGTACTACCAACTACCCGAGCTGGAATGCAATGGCGTGAACTGTCGTGAAGACTGCACCGGCGAGGATTGCGAGAAGAAGGAGACGTCGACATCGAAACCACCAAACGGATCTGAGTAAACCTGTGGTTTAGTAGTATTGCACGCCAATAAAGTTAACTCGAGTCACAAAATGCTGGTGTGTTGGCATTTCCTGGATAAATGGACTAGTTAAAGTGGGGAGCTATGTTATTCAAAGAACAGTCACACTAGCGAGGCCACAGCAATCTTAAAACACCCGCTTTCTGGATCAGCCAATGGGAAATCAGATAAACTAAGGCAGCTGAGTAGAGTTATTTTCAAGTCCACAAATCTGCAGCTTGTGTGGTGTATACGTAAGATTTCGAGATTAAGAATTTGGTGGCTTTCCCTCTGCAAACAGAGTTTTAATTTTAAGCGTGATTTGGGCTGAATTGGGTATATAGGCTGTGCTCTTGTTCAACTGACCAATCAAATTTGAAATGAAATCCCTTGACACATGTCGTTGAATTTAATTAAATTTGTTTAGCCATAGGCCTAAAACAACAGTAAAATTGGTCTTTTTTGATCAGAAATCACGTGGCTTGCCATTGAAATCGCCGCCATTGCATATTCAACGTAAAAAACTCGCACGCAGCTTCAGCACTATATATTTGGAACTCAATTGTTGCGGCTGGAAGGCATTTGATTCAAACGTTCGAATTGGCCAATGAGAAATATGTTGTGGAATGGAGGACTAGCATGGTTGCCGCTTTCATCTTTCGCTGCAACTTCAAAGTGCCCTTCAAAATTTACCAACAGGGGTCCTAAACTGGATTGCTGGAACACATCGAACTGGTGTGGCATTTAAATATGCAGATATTCCTGCAGGAAACATGATTGGCCAGCCCGGTTCAAGGCCATGAAGGATCCGTAAATAAACCGTTTTGGCGTGGAGGTGACGAGGGAGGAGTGTGTTCAGTAAGGGGATGAATTGTTCAGTTATTGTCATTAGATCTCAAGACGCATGGTAGTTTGAAGCTCTCTGATTGGTTACAACTAGGTTTGTTCTGAATCAGCAAACTCACTGGTAGGTGGTCAACTGCTATGGGTGATTTTTTTAATTGCTACCGTCGACAATTCGGGCTAGAAATTAAATAAAAAACCGGCAGATCGGCGTACGAGCACTCGTGGACGTCAGTTGAGTAGAAATGACCCTGCCTAAGACATCGATGACCACCTATTTCACAGGCGTAGAGATCACGCAGCTAGAACACGGGTAGTAGGAATTAGTTCCGTGTATACCATTTAAACGCAATCTACCCTTTCAACATTCACAGTTTGCCTTCCGCTGCACATTACTAAATACCAGCTCAAATTGCGTTAGATAAAAGAGTTTGGATTAGCATCATATGCAAATTAGGAGTTGTTGATAGTTGTACTTTAGGAACATGAAAAATGATCCCTTTTGTAAAGTACACGAGAAAATTAATGGGTACGTAGAGAATCGCCAGGCACTACAATCTTGCTTGATGGCGTCAGCCAATGAAACAAACGCACACTTGAGTCAATTTTGATTGGTGAGAAAACTAGCTAGTGAGTTCTGTTCACCAGGATTTGCCAATCATCGAATCATCCTAATTTCTCATTTGTTTGTCTAAATTAGGAAAGACTGCAAACAAAATCGATAATCGATTACGTATCTTAGTAGTTTACACGTGTTAATTTTTCGTGCTTGTTTCAGCTGAAAAAGGGATGATACAGAGGATTTTTAAATTTCTTAATCATCCTCATCAGGGATCTTTTGTTGGTATTGGTGATCAGTGTTCAGGGGGCTTACGGGTGTTTTTCATTGGCTGCAAGATTTGACTGGTCATAAATACGACCAGATGCTTTCAGTTAGAGTAGCAAGTATTGATTTTGCAAAAAGAGAACTAATTATTGTAACCACTGGCCTTAAATCCATTACCACTGAAGTTTTCCAATAATTACTTTTGCTAATTAGAGATGTCGATTGTGTAGTTCAAGTGCCTAGTGAACTAGAACGAGGCAACAATTATTGTTTTGGCTTCCACTGCTAGCCACTCTTAGCATTTCGCCAAATTGGTTGAGCTATTAACGAATTCATCGTAATTGAAATCGTGAGCTGCTTCGTGAGCAGCATTTTCCTCGATGATCATTGGTTAAAATACCTGATGACCAATCATTTTAAAGTCCTGGTGTCTTCGTAGCCAATCCTGCGTAACCTAACACAAATTCGCATGCCTTATTGGAGGACAAATTTGTGCTACTAACTACATTAAAGTATTCGGTCTCCATTTTACATTGACATCATTAGTATTAATGAGAACACATTCATTTTGGAGGGCTGTGATAGGAAATATTTAACAGGTTACAACTCGTGCTCAATGTACACACCAACTTGAAAATGACGTGCTTAAGAGAACAACACGGACATCAACATTTTAACGTGACCTCCAAATGCACTTCATTAAAACAATATTTTACACTTGGCTGATGATGCTCGGGAACCCCCATCGCCATGATAAATAAAACCTTTTTCTAGTCATAATTATAAGTTAATCAAGTAAATCTGTCTCTTTTCTATCTGGACATCAATTAAATTTATTTGCTTTCTTAGCGTAACTTTGTGCAAAAATTTTAATCTTCGTCACCTTCTGCAAACACAACTTTGCTACTGACAGTGGAATTCAAGATTGGCGCGATCCAAAATATCGATTTTCCCGAGGTCAGATGCGATTTCAATCGAACATTCACGTTCCAACTAATTACAGAGATAAACATCACGTTTATAAGCACCCCACGCTTCTATTGTGCGAAAACTCACTTAGTCACGATACAATTTGTCACCTAACCCATTAGAATTATTTAATTTTTTGGAGAAAAACTAGGCTCGACAAACAACCCGGGAAGGAGATGCTTTCACCCAATTTATTGAGAGCACAAGACAAATTGAAGTCCCCTTAGGGCGTTGCCCCGTTCCCCTCTCGTTAACTTGTAATGCCGACTTCCGTTTGGGTTGGAACGATTTGTCAAGACTGTCTTCGGCCCGTCCACTCATTGTCCGCATTCCAGTTTTCTCGGTGTAGAGTGCCTCTATCGGCTGCTTTGTTTGTTTGAGTGGTCCAGTGTGAGTCACACGACATCAAAAGTTAAGGGTTTCAATTGGGAATAATAAAATTGCCCGGCCAGAGTGCAACCTTGAGTGCCTCTGTAATTAGCCAATCAGAATTAAAGTTACTTGCAATCTATATTCACGGTGACTGCGCAGCGTATTTGCGAGTAAATATCGATTAGTTTTATCGATTTGCTGTTCTGACCAGATGACACAATGTCTTTTTTAATAGAACGTGCCCTTTCAGGAGGTGTGCTTCAAACACGATAAATATTTGAACCTGGTGAGTCAGTGTACACGCATGATGCGCTGTAATGCGTCGTACGTGAGGCTACCAGCAGCTGTAAAAACAACAGTTGGTGGAAATGTGTCATTCGAGGTTGCGCTGACAGAAGGACACCCAGATGAGTAACATCTCAGCATCTGCATCAGCTACAGACGTTCCAGTGTTGGTAGAAGTGAGTTAACGATGTTGGCTAAAATTCGAGGCTGGAGCAAATTACAAGCTTAAACCTCGAAGCCAGTTTATCTTCCTCAAGAAACGATGGCCACATTCAGACAGGAATAGGTTCGCAAGAGTGAGGGGTAATCTCGCGCAAAATCGACAATTGTGCCGTCCGTGGCCTATTCAGATCAAAGTAGGGTGCATTGGAATGAACGCAATGCAGATCCGCCTCCCGAAAAACCCATTTTTCACAAATGCATCAAATAGCGGCAACAGTGGCATGCACACCTGGTGTCCCCAAGTCACGGCCAATTATCTAACAGTTGTGTTAACTTCCTGTTCATCTGCCGCCTGACACAGCATCGAAAAAAAACGAGTTCTCGCCTAGACTGGAGGTTGCTAGAATAGTGTCCTTTTTGTGTTAAAGCCAAATATCTGCTTGGAGTGGTGGCGGTGGTGGTGTGTCGGTGTGCGCGTGTGAATAGATCGTCGTGACATTCATCTGATTTTCCACACAAAACAAAAAAACCCGCACGCGCGCACTTCCGACGAAGGGCTCTTTGTAGAACCGACTCGCAGGCTGGTATTTAGGCAGCACCAGTGTCAACCGCTCGCTCTCACGCTCCTCGGACGGACAGCGAGAGAGGTATTTCTTTAACCGAAATAAAAATGCTGCGTGTCATGGTGTTTGCTTTTTGAAAATGTCGCGCTGAAATAAAACAACTCTGACCTAGGCTTGGCGCGTCTTTGACCAGTGACTGCAGGCGAAATCGATTTTTATCGATTCGCCCGCCATGGAAGTTTTTCGTAAGCATGAACTTTTGGCCCAAGTTAGCTGTTAGTGGCTATTCATTCAGGGGGTCATCGTTATGGTGAAGGAATTTGTGAACAGTTGGTCGGCTTCGGCGACGATAATTAATGAGATGCAGCTAGCGCAGAACGCTGATGCAGAATGCGTGAGATTTTTCTCTTGAAGGCGGTTATAGTTCTGTTTTCCGCGAGTGAATCATCCAGACATGTGTGGAGTTCTCTCGGGAGCGTCGAATCGAGCTGGATTCAAACTCACAACCACAGAAGCGCACGTAGCCAGTCGGTAGCTTTCTGACTGACGTATTTGCTCAGGCACCTAATTTCGTACCAAATTTGACTAAAAACGACGGTGGGTTTGTCGTTTATCGGCCGTGTGCACTTAAGTTCACACCTGTGCACTCTGCAAAATCAATTTTTAAATCAATAAAACCAAAGTAACCACAGCAGGTACTGGTTAGGGTGCAATCGAAGCTGCTGGCTCATGCACTTTATTATGACGTGTGTCGTCATGCCACAGTGACAACTATTTACCGATTCTAAAATCTAGCCAACAAAATTCTGTTCTGCTAGCAAGGTAATCAAAGAAACGAACTATCTCCTAAACTCCAAAAAACCAATGCCAGAGCTTTTTGCTGACTTCATTCCTCAAGCATAAACAGATGCATGTTTGTTTAAATTAATGCAGTCAATATTTTGAAGAGTTAGACCGCAAGAATCAAATCCTGCGTTTCCAGCACGAATTACTCACAAGTAAAGCCACAAACTGTCAACAAACTCGCTAAGCGTAAAAGTCCTGACTAGAGTCCCACTATGTTTAGAAAAAAAGGGGGCGCAGAGAAGTCTCCGGCGTTCTCTGCGCCCATGAAGGACGCTGAACGAAAGCAGCAATTTTATTGGTTTACACGAACCAATAACTGAGTCGCGGTCGCAGCTGCAGCCTGATTGGTTGAGAGCTGGCCAACCCCTAGGCAGACGCAGTCAGGCGTGTTGAAGCACCTCTGAAATGAACCTAATCAGGTCATTTTTTCAATCCATTGAAGCCGCAAGCTCTCAACCCTCCCCCCGGCACTCCCCACGGATTTAACATGTTTTTCGTCCTCAAATAACCAACGTCAGCACAGCCGCGGTATCTCACACCAACACAACATTCTGCCAATTATGCTGCCTGTAACCACTCTCATTTGGATTGTATCGGAATTCCTGGTTTCTGGTAAGCATATTTATTTCCACATCACTGATAATTTTTAAACTGTTTAGTTTGGTTTTTTTGCTAACGTAGACGTAAGAGAACCATGATTTTATTGGAGGGGTTTTTTAACCAGTAGTCGGAAGTAGATTGGTCGATCGGGTATCCACGAATGATGTTGATGGTGGTGAGCAGGTAGCCTTGTTTGACCAAGAAGCATTATGTAATCTTGTCACCTAAATATCCTCCGAGGAGGGATTTGCTTGTTGCCTCGACGCCTCCAACCAATTTTCGCGCGCCTAATTAACTCTAAGATGGTTTCTCCAGAGACCTCGCTACACGAAATTACCAACAAGAAGCGTGTTTGTGAGGTTGATTGATGGGCAGGTGAATAAAAGGCTGGCTAAACGCCCTCTGAGATTCAATTTCCGGGGCATGTTTTGTTTTAATCTGCGGTATTTTATGGCGCGTTTACAAACCAGCCTCAAAAGTAGTTAAGCTGAGCTTTCTCCCTCTGAACTTGTACACTGTCCTTTGGCGGTCGGGACGGACTCGTGTAGAGTCAACGATCCACTTTAGTCGGCACCTTTTAAGTTGGCGTTAGTGTGTGGGAATTTTTTGTCTCAAGTGGATTTAACCCAAATTTATGACCTTAAAGTACACGAATTACGTCCCAATTATCAGTTAGTTAGACTTGAGTTGGCGCAAAATATCACCATGGGTCGTATTTCGTGTAATTATGCTGTTTTGTGGATATTGACTGGACAAGGATGCATCACAGTTCGGAAAATCCACTTCATTAAAACGCAAGAAAATGGTCCAATTAGGAACACCCTCTTGAGGTCAGTTCAAGGCCACTTGCGATGTAGCGCGTCCGTCTTTATCAATATAAAAAGACACGAATAACGGACTGGTAGAAGGGTACAAACCAAAAGTACAAAACGAAATGGTGTTTAATGACCAAATCGTTACCAAATTTGGTTTAATGTGAAAAATCGGACGAATAAGCATCTTGATACACGTTAACGCAGAATGCACAACTGTCGTCTCTCAGTATTGACACATCCTAAAAACGAGGGTTTATCGTTTTAAAAGCGTCAAAATGAAACTCAGATCAATTTTGAGCAGCCTAATGAGGTCGGATTAAAGTGACCTAGAAGCCGGTCGCTAGTGGAAGGGCTAGATTAGGAAATTTTTATGCTTTTGCATGGAGCGAATTGTCAGAACTGCATCATTAATGAAGCTACTGCTGATTCTAAAGTGCTAAAACCTACGACCTACTCACTCGTAATGTACGCAATGTCGTTTAAATGCGCATGGGGAGGAAGTTGGTGGCAATAAAAAAAAGGGCGACTGATTGAAAAGGCCATTTTGTGCAAGACTTTACAGCTCAAGTTAAATGCAGCTTACACGCCAAGGCGACTTTACGACTGGCATGATTACTCACCTATTTTTTTTCCGGAGATAAAATCTTAATTAGGTTATCCGCTGTACACACACACACACGCCTGTGTGTGTATGTTCGTTCCTTTGTTTGTTTCTTTGGTGATAACGCCAATGCCCTTAGCTGCATTCACGTGTCATTAGTTGATCTATTCCCATCTTCGATCGGTTGTCCATCCAATCATATTCGTCTGAGACAGTACAGACTCCTAATTAGGCGCAGTTTGCTTATTTCTATTGGGTCGCACATATATCTTGCGAGCTGGTGTGTTTCCAGGCGCAGTGCCTCACAAAATGGTTCCTTCTACCAACCACACACACACCCGCACACAATAATGCTCCAGTAAATTGACATTAACGTGCGGTTTGATAGTCGTCGTAGACGTGATTCACTGCCGTGATGTCGGCGTTTGTTTGTTTTCACCTGTTGGCTGTTACCACACGACACGGAAATAAACTGAATATTGTCTGTGCGTGCGGTGAAAAGTCGCGCATGTCGTGGAACCAGTTTTGACGTGTTTACTGCGCTAACTCAGAACCTCACCGACCCTGGCAGGAGGCAGAGAGTGCAGTAAAACAATCGCGCGCGCGCACGGTTCTAAATTCGAGTTGTCTTAGTTCAAGAAGTGATTTGTTTTGCTGTGGTTTCCCCTGTCTTACGTAGAACCCCAATTTTTATTGGTTGTTGAGTTGTGTGATTGCAGCGGCCAATTAAATGAGACGCGCGCTCACTCCTCCCCAGCCTCCAAGTTGACCGAACTGAAAACTGAAGTGACGACTTCGTGGATTTTGGAACCAGTTTAATGTGTGAATTGCGTCTTCACTGATCTGGTGATCGTCGCCTGAGTTGTCTTGATCGGATCGAGTAAGCTTGATTTTGCTCGATTCCACACAAGGGATGTCCAGGTTAGGATTTGGGATAAAGTGGAGCAGATTTTATGCCTCTCTCCCTCTCTCTCACGCAATACAGGGAACAGATGTGCAGCCTGAACAGGAAATTGGACATCTGCCAGCCATCAATCACTCGCAGTGTATGCTTGCCTGCTGAGAAACGTCAAATTTCATTGGCGTTAGTTCGCGTTAATCCTCCTTAACCATCTAGCGCGGAGACTACAGCGCTCATGTTGGCTTGTTAGACAACGCAAACACATGTTCGCAGGTTCAAATTCCGTGTTAACATGTCCACAACTAACACAAACACACGGACTCACGTCGATTGAGAGCTAACAAGTAAACGTGAGATGTTGACTTTGAGTCCGAAGTCCATTTCAACATCTGCCTTAATTAACTTGTTGACAAAAATGATGCCGCTGGAACGCCTTAGTGGGCAAATTTGTTACAATTCGTTAAAAGTCTAGTGTTTACATGACACGCAAAGTGCCCTCGCTATTGTTCCCACAATGCCTGCTCTTCTCCCTGTGAATCGCCATCTCGTGTGCTTTCCACTCTTCAAATGAAACGTTTCATCGACTCTGGATAGTTGTGTGGATTTGCGTGTTTGTCAATGTGGTACATTGTTAAGCCGTGTAAGATAGGTGAGGTGTTTGCATAGGCGGCAACAAGACAAACAGTTCGTGTGTGGATTTGTCTTGCAACGGGCTTACTTGACAGGTGCAAGAAAGTCACAAATCAGACCACTCACAGCACCCGCCAACAATGCCGCCTTGTGCAACCACCCCCCTGTGGTGACTTTTTGAACCCGGTAGCACCGCCTGCCGTGGTGTTTGTTTCACCGGCGGCCACCAAATTCGGCGGTGAAAGAAGCCTTCGGCGTCAACGACGCCGGCGTCTGCTTCTTTTTGGCCGGGGCATCCACTTCTTGCGGTGCGTCGTCGGCATTGGCTGTCTTTTTTTTTCTCGCATTCGCGACTTCAGCCGAGGGAGCGAAAGCAATCGGACGTGACGGTGTCAAGTGGGTGTTCGTCGGTGTCACCGTAGAATTTGTACTTCTGATTATCTTGTGGGGGGATGTGAATGACCTCGTGTGACCTCCGTCGCCTCTAGACTCGATTCCGCCTCTTCTATTTGCCTTGCTTTGATCAACCCACCATCAGAGAGCACTGCCTTCGTCACCTTGCCGACGACACGGGTTAGCGTCACGTTCCGAGCACTCCGCTGAAGGAACCCGTGTTCCTCCTCTAAGGGGGAGGGCTGTGTGGTGACATGCGATTTGCGCCCCGTTGTCGGATAACGTGTGCACCCAAACACACGCAGAGTGATATACGAGCGCTGACGAAATCATAAGGGCTCACACTTTGTGTGTGCGTGTGTGTGTGTGTGCGCGCAGTGGAGTTGGGAAGGGGTCTGGTCGGGCGCTGTTCAGCCCCCCTGCCCCCCAGTCTTGAGCGGTGTCAATTTACCTGACAACAAGGCCGCGTCCGAATTCGGGAGGCAACCTGCCATCTCTGAACCCCGCCACACACACACACACACGCACAACACCAATCAGCTGATGCGTCGATGACGCTGATGTGAGTTAAATTTCTGCACACACCACGCACAGAATGCCTTTACAGATCGGGAAATAACTGCGTAGTTAAGCATGGTGGAATGTGCCGTTGTTCTACTACTACGCGCATTAGGAGAAAATGATCTCTTTCCAATATCGCAGGACTCGTTGGATTTACCAATTCTGACTTGTTTGATTTTGGCCATTTTGTGTACCCGAAAACAAGTGCTGTCGTGTTAAATACCACCAACTTACTGGAGTGTGTGTGTGTGTACACAAACACAGGAAAAAACACCAAGCTGACATTTACTTGAAAGTTCGGCGGTGAATTCGTGAGCGCCTTGTCGCCTCGCGGGGGAATTTAAACAAACACAGCGCCAGACTTGAAATTTGATGCGAAAATTGAAGACGCAGCGCTTGGTGCACACGAGAGTTCCTGCGTTTGAACTGTACCATTTGAGGGCCTTCTTGTCCGCCTCTGTGCTGACATCTGGCAGTGATTTGTGTGGAAAACAAGGGGATTCTTCGTCTTGATAGTTGGCGACATCTGCCCATCACTGCACAATCTCCACTTTCCATCTCCCTCACCCAGTTCTAATCGTGTTGGTGCGTGCTTGCGTGCGTGTTAGTGGCAAACCCACGTTGATGGGAGCGACTGTCAGTCACGTAGGTGGGACATTCCCGGTCTAGAGGCACTCTACTTAGTGTTGCCCGACCCCTCAAAATTGTCCAGTCGTGGAGCTTTCAAATGGCGACAGAATGTGGTTGCGTGTTGTGGACCCCTTTCCACGAGGGTAATAGTTGGAATCCCTCGTTTTTGCATTTCAAAGGTACCTTAGAACATGACATGACTAGTGCTCGTACGGAGACCTGTACCGTGTCAATCAAAAGGTGTTAGCTTGAAAAACGGTGCGGCTTGACTGTAGAATGAGTCGAGGCCACACGTCTCAGCGCTAATTTGGTTGTCTTGGGAAATGTTGACGCTCTCAACACCGCCACCTCGTCACCAAAACCACCTTGATCACCAGTACTGCCCACCTCCGCGCGTCTACCTCTTCCACCAAAACATCAACAACAACCACTGCCGCCACCACCACACCACAACCACCTCCACCGCCACACGTGTGTCAAGGGAATGCGTTCTCGTGGTGGCCTCGTTACTCACTTTAGATAAACGGTTTTGTGCGCACGTGTGAGTGTGTGTGTGTGCAGTTAGGCGGTAATTATGGTTTTGGGGGGGGGAGGTCGCGTACACTAAACTGGACGACAGTTGTGGTGGTGTGTGTGTGTGTGTATGACTCACACAGCAGTGTTTGGATGATTGATGGCCAAGGCTGCCTGTGGGAGATCCCGCCAAGCGTATTCCCGTGTTCCCGTGCGTCCACGTGTGACAGCCTGGGAGGAATCTGCTCGCCTTGATTTGAGATCTTACGGTGTTGCCAAGCCCCGCCGACGTGTGGTAGCTGTCAGTGACGTCGAAGACAGCATTCCTCACCCTTCCAGTTTTTCACAGGCCTGTGGGAGAATTTTGGTGGTAGGATTCCCGTTTTTATTGGCGCTGTTGCCACCCGAACGCGGTACTTAAATCTCGCTTGTCTTCTACGACGACAAGCAGCCACGCCATTCAATTAACTCGGGGTTCAGGCGTGAATGCACGAGGTCACCCGGCGGTTAACCGCGCACATTCATTAGCTCCGTTTAACCGCAACACTCGCGCGCACCCTGTTTAGTGCGCAAATTTTTTCTTAATTTAATTTTTGCATTTCAGCATGCTCGGCGCAACACCAGCAGACATGCAAATCAACCCTGCTTGCCAATCTGCCCGAGACGGCGTTTGTTGCGTCAGCGGAAGTCACACCGCGGTACTCAGCCTCGGCGGCAAGGTGCGCTTCGTCTTGTCTCTGTTCTTCTTCTTCTTTTTTCTCAATTTCTTGTGTTTCTCTCAGCAAAATGCTCTGCATAATCACAGCGCAAACTCCCTCCCCCGCGCATACCAAATTAGTCAGTCCACACCTAGCACACTTCTTCGTTTTTTTTTCAAAACACGCGCGCAAGTTTTGTTTGAGTCGATGTGCCAGCGACCCACTGCGGACTTGGCCATCGCGCAAGGTCACTGCACTTTAGTAAAACAAACAAGCCAGGCCGGTGGATGTGTGTTTATCGATACCCTGGCAGCCCGCACGATGAATCACGCAGTTTTAGCAAACCCGTGTGACTGATATCTTGTCAAACGAGCCCGAAAATCGCACATGACCGATTTTGCGGTCAAAACCACCACACACATGTCACAATTCTTCATGATGCATGACTGCTGTGTGTGCGTGTGTACGCAGGATTTATTGCGACGTCACTCCCGTTTACGTGGGACATTAATCTCCCAGACGTGGCCGTCGGGCGACAGCCATGTCTAGCGCGACTGACAAAACTTTTACCACGGCTGTAATTAATGCTTAACGCATGACTCACGCCGTCACAAGGTCATGCCGTGAGTTCGGGCCTAAAATAAAACTCATTGAAATAAAACGCATTGAAATTCACGACAATATCAGGGTTAGATAGTTCTTAGCACGCTATTGGTTGAAGTACCGAGTATATTTTTTGTGTGTTTGGACAGGATGTCCTCTGACGACGACATCGCCTGGTGCGTGGAGGGTGTTCAGCCGCACGACGAGAAGGAATTCCTCGAAATCGACCTCGGTCAGTTGTCCTTCGTGAAGCTCATTATAACCAAGGGTCTTTCCACTGCTGATAAGGTGAGAAATGCATTCTTATTGGATGGACACCTTCACGACCTCGCCGTCCAGTTGTAGCTATTCCACGAGAAGCCACGTGTTGTGTCGTTTTGTGATTAATTCGACTAGGCATTGACGTCTTGTCAACAGTTTTGATCGTTTCAAGGCATTACTGTGTGGGAGACAGTTGAATTCCACGTGGGTCTTGTGTTGGTTGGCGTGGAAACGTCGAGGTTGGATGGTCCTCTGCAAAGCCTCAAATTTGACCAATCTCGATTGGTGGAAGTGGTGTTATTCCACAGCACCACACCACAAGACATTGAAGCGTCAGAACCACGCCGATGTAGGCTTGGAAGTCCTGCTTCATCCATCGCATATTCTCCAGTCGAAGAAGTATTTGCGCCGTGGAATAAAGACCTTCCAGACATGGTGCCATCATCCTGGAATCAGAGAGTGGAGATGGAGTCTGTGCGTCAGAGTAGTTATTTCCGACCACGGTTGCCCTACTGTCACAAAACGCCAGAAGTTAGTTGATTTCTCGTAAAGCATAAACAGGGCGTTAGTCTAAAATCGCGATTGAGATTTGTTTGTTGGTGCATTGATAAACCACCACATTCAAACATCACAGATCCAAATCGCTAACAAATTTGGCAGTTTTTTTTATTATTTCTGAAGGCTTTCCACAAATTCTGACGCTAATCTGTCGCATTTCAGGGTGGGCTGTATATGACGTCGTACTACTACATCTGGTACCGTCGCGATACGAGCCAGTCGACGTGGATCAAGTACCAGAACATCAACGGAACAACGGTAGGTGCTTGAGTGTGTTCCCTCATGCTTACCCCCACCCATCTGACGAACAGGTCGTTGAACCGTGGCCACGGGAATTCATCATAGTTATGTTTGACAAGTTGGAGGAAAAAGTAGGCGAGAAGCAGCGGCAGCAGTAGCTACAGTGTTGCCTTTTTTGGCAGTTGTGCGGACTTAGGCAAAAGTGTGATCCAGCACCATCTTGCGAGCCGTGTGGATGGTGCTTTGTGCAATGGCGTAGGCTTCTGGTGTTGATTTCAGATCCACGGCACTGCAAGATGGATGGATGGATGGATGTGCAGCTATTCCAAGTATCCAGTTTCGATAGCTGTCATGCCAGCAAGGCCAGATGTGACAACATCGAGAGAACGAGAATTGGTTGTTGGTGGATCTCGTAGACCCATTTCACCAGTGGTTCTGTCTGGTTTATTTTCGATTAGATTTCACGCATTCCCTAATTCCTAGCACAACGAAGTCTACACAGTCAACCAGCCTCCTAAACAAGCCGTTTGTCATCCACACTGTTTGTTTTCGGTCACGTGATGTCCAACGCTTTTTTTTACCCCTGTGCAGCGCATGTAACGCTTTAAGGCGGCCGGTTTAATGCGCGACAAGTCATTTCATTTTAGTGTTGTGAGCACTAAAATTGCCATTAGTCTTGTCGGTGGTCGATTTACACAACCTCGCGCTTATTGCTCTACTCAGGGAAAACAATTTTATACCTGTCGTGGGGTGGACGCTTTCGGAATGACAGTTAAAACCAATTAAAGTTTGGTCTTTTGCACTTGATGAAGCCGTATATTGCCTTTAGACACGGAAAGGCGCATCGCAAGTTTCCTTCGAAGGTCGGCACTTCGTGAAAATAGCAAAACTGTCACAAAAAAAGCATATCGACTCGAAGCAGCTGCAGTTTGAAATTTCGGATCACGTTGAGTGGTTGGATTTAGTTTAAACAAATACGGGGAAACGCAAGTTTTACTGCAAAACCTATTTCCGGACCCAGGAAACGTCGAAGTTGCCACGAAACACCAATTTACTCGTTTGCAGAAATTTACCTCGGGCAAAAATCTGCCACTTAGGGAATGCAAACTTTGTGTCAAATCACGCATTGAGTGGTGCACGTAGGTTGAGGTGGTGGTGGTGGTGGCGGTGATGGTAATTCTACTTTACTTTGTTTACGTTTTGTGGGTTGACACATTTTTGCTTTTTTTTTTTAAAAAAAATTAACTAGCATTATTCTCCGAGAACATGAAAGCCAATCAAATGACGCGAATTCTGGCAAAGGCGTCTTAATTAAATGGTTATAATCTAACCCAATCACAGTTAATGAAAGCCCTCCTGCAACCCTGTTTTTTTTCATCTTTTAATTTTGCATGTTAATTAGAGTCCGCGTTGTAATCCGGTTTAATTGGTTGATGGATTAATATGCTATTAGCATTGCGTGCTAATACTCCTTTTTTCTGCTTCTCAACGTAAAATTTAGTCCCTTTTCTGATTGATATCATGAATTTACGTTGGTAGAAGTGTTTCACGGTGTTCGAAGCAATCCAACAATGCCATTGGTGCAAATCAAACCAATCGATAGTTGATCCACTCACACGGCTGCTGATTGGTCCGTTTTAGCGAATCAAAGGCAACCTCGACGCCCAGACTGAGCGCTACGTCTCAATGAATCCGCCGTTTGTCGCCCGGTGGGTGCGCATCTATCCCTTCACGCTGGAGCGAAAGCCTGCCTGTCTCAAGCTTGAATTGATTGGATGCAGTGCCAGTGAGTTTGTTCGACAAAAAACGACCACTTATGTGTAATTTCCAGCTTGTTTGGTGAACGCCAGCCAGCTTCCTGGCAATCTCGTGTTTCCGCGATCAGGATATTCGTGGTTTTTGTCAGTAATGGGCCGATCGAAGTTAGATCTCAAGCAGAGGGTTAGTAATGCAGCATCACTCGCCAAGCATGTAAACAGTAAATGTCGCTAAAACGTTGATGCCGATGATACAATAAACACGCCATCAAACGACCATGTGGAAAGTTCACCAGCGTGCGCGTGTTATTCTAGACAATAGATGGTAAAAAGTTTCTAGTAAACATTGATTGGCTATTGGACAAATTGCACCTGGCGGTTTGCAAGAAGGTGTATTAAAACAACCGACTAGTACCGCAAATCTTACGGACAAGCCTCAGTAATTGCAAGCGGTTCACTAAGACCCTAACCAGACAAGAATTTGCTCAACTGACTCTCTAAACGAACGTTCAATTCCAGCACATGTGTCCTAATTAAATGGCGACAATTGAATTACGCAAATTCAATCACAACCTTCGTGGTAATTCACTTTGCTTCACTAAGTTAATTTGCACAATGCAGACGCGCGATCTGTGATAACAAGGATTATTATCAAACCGTCTCTATCACAACCGCCAGGCCACAGGCTGCTCTAGTGACTCCCTCTTGCCTCGCACACCCCGCGGACACTTCCTGGTGTGTGTGTGTGTGTGGGTGTGATTTCTTCAAATCTAATCAGTGCCGCACGTTATGATGTCTTCTTTTAACTTCCGCAATTCCCGCTTTTATTGCCAACGCTGCTGTGTTTGTTTGACCAGCCGTGGAGTCTGTGCGTTTTTTGGGGAGTGAATGTGATTGGTTGGTGGATTGACTGATCACCTACCTTCCCCTTCTACCCCTGTTACAGATGGTGTCATTGAGTATCAGGCTCCCCGTGGACACCTGTTGTCTAAGTCACCGCGACATCGGCTGCTGGACGTCACATACGACAGTCCAGAACATCGCCACGACTTCTCGCTCGGTGCTGGAGGCGTCGCCTTCCATCGACAGGCCTTCAACGTCGGTGGACTGGGCAAACTCGTGGATGGGAAACCAGACAGTGAAGTCGATAGTGAGTAAGTCAAGCAAAATAGGGCGATTCTCGTCCAATGGCCCAGGTCGGTCTACAGCACCTTCAGCTAAAAAGATAGATCCAGAATTTGGTTAGAAACCAAGAAAACATCGGTTTGATCGCTTTAGTCCACTCGAGACGAACCTGTTCGTCGGCTGGAAGCGGGAGACTCGAAGGGATGGTGAACTCGACTTCGAGAGGGTTGTCTTCCGATTCGACGCCTTTTACAATTTCTCCGGTGTGAGTCTACTTCTGGCCGATCAACTGGGCTCTGAGGTGGCGCGACCCAAGCGCGTGGAGGTTCGACTGAGTCGTAGATTTCCACGTGGCACTTCAACCACCAATCCCTCCACGACAAACCTCGTCGCTACGCACGAATTGCCCTCGTCTGATGTCGCTGCTCTACGCCGAGTCCAGTGGATGCGTGTCGACTTGACGCAGGTGTCTAGACATGCAGCCGACGGAAACTCGACTCACACCGACGCCATCTACGACACTGTGGCGAACTATGTGGAATTACGGATCCATTACGGTGGACCGTGGATCGCCATCGCGGAAGTTACTTTCGATAACTGTGAGCTTGCGTTCTGACATCTGGTTGGTGTTAAACCATCATTCCAACTTAATTCTCACTTGGATTATCTCTGTTCTCCTTCTTTTTATGTGACATCAGCTCGCGTTGAAGTACCTCCAGAGCTGTATCTCCTGAAAGGTAAGCTGTCGTGAAGTATTGATCTTTGGTTTTACCGCGTCATTTCCGTCACTAACCTCCAACAGCATAGAGAGGAGTTGGATTCGCTTGTCAAGCGGTCTATGGGGGAGCTTGTCATCGGGTGTAACATGTCATCGCGCACGCACGCCAACATCACTGTCAACGACTGTCGTCTCTCTACCAAGCCAAAACACAACTGTTCTACCTTAATCACGGCGAAATCATTAAGAAAGACTGTTTTTTAACAAACCAGTAATTTAGACTAGTTCTTTACGAGGGATGTCTTACAGTCTCTGAAACGAAAGGGTTATCGTGAGGCACTCGTAAAAAATACCAGCCTGAGTTGTTTGAATTGGTTTTTTTCGTGAGAAAATTGATTTAATTCGGGTAAATATTAAACCGTTTTGTTTTAAAAAAAGATTAGACATGCCACCAATTTCGTGGCAATCTAATGGGAATAGGCGAAATTAAATTTCAGCTGTGAATTTTAGCGAAAGGGGAAATGCAATTCATTTAAACAAACATGCCATGCGCAGTAATGCACTTCATTTTCCAAAAAAAACCGCGATTTATTTGGTTTTAATAAATTGTTTTTTCTTTAAAATTTTGAAAAAAAAAACTGACTACTGGAGCGGTATCGAGTTCTTCTGCGAAAGACCAGCGAAAATCTTATCGCCGAAATCTCTAGTTGTGCCAGCGTAAAAACGTATAAAAAGACGTTCCAGAGGTTGTGTATCTGCGTAGTTGAGCGTGCTGTAGCATTTGTCATTCTACGCTCAAGTGTAGGTTGCAACCGAACGAAAGATTTGCCCGCGCGATATTTCTGTCTACGTGAAATTGTTTAAATCGACAGGCTTGGAGCAGTGGTTGTTGATAGCCAGGCACGCGCCTAGTACAAATGACTCGTCCGTCTATTCATGTGCGTAATTTTTTTTGAAGAAAAATGATACATTTTACCTGCATCGCCTCCAGTCGAGGTGACAAATGGGGGTTACTTCTGTTCTCAGTCTGGCTGTCTGGGTTTGTTACAGTGCGTAAATCATTAGTCATGCTTAGCTTTGGTGCGTCAGTGTTCGGTGATTAAAAGAAGCAGGTAGTTGCTTAGGTTGAATTAAGAAATGCCTCCACTATTTCTTGCAGAATCCGTCGAACCGATTCCATTGGTCGTCTCCGGTGGATCGGGCACGTCCAGCCAATCAGGAGGCGGCAACGCCAGCGTCGAAGCACTAATTCCACCGCCGTACAACCTGGCACCCATGCAACCGCACACCTACGCACTGGTCGTCGGGTTGGGCTGTCTAGCCACCATTCTCATCATCTTAGTCCTCGTGCTCTTCGTTCATTGGCGTCGTCGGGCATTCCTGGCAAGCCACAAACTGGACGAAATCAATCGCACCTTCCAGCACCCCTCGACTATGCAATTGATGAAGGCGGCAACGTCACCGCAGCCCGCGCATTCCACGAAGATGTGCGTCGGCGCGCAGCAGCTTCCGATGTACTTGAACGGTGAAGGCGGCGCTGCTGGCGGTGGTGGTGCGTATGTCGCTGGATTCTCTCCATCCGCGATCATGTCGCAGTACTTGCTTCAACAACAACACCAACAACAGCAAACCGGCAATATACCGAACTCCCTCGTTCTCCCCAACTACCACAGATCCCATCATCACCTTCCAGCGCATCCCACGAACGCAGTGAGTCTCGTGTGGAATCGGAAATCCTCAGTAATGTAATAGATGTATGAATGCCGTCAAGAGAGAAATTTGCAGGCTTTGTCGAGGCACTAAAGTCACCACAGATGAATTTTCGCAAAATTGTCCAGAATTGTCAACTGTTAATTCACTAAGGCATGCCATTACACTGATCTGAACAAATGATTGTCGCATGAAGCCGAGTCTGGTGAATATGCCACGTGTAGAGCTTCCCATCCCGAGTTCAAAAGGGTCTTCTGGGTCGCGCGAGCAACGTGAGGTGGTCGAGAGTTGTCTTGCGGTGGCAGTTCGACTTGCCTGCTTCCTCGCCCAGTAAATGGCTTTTTCTGATTCAATTCCTCCCTCAGTTTCCTCAATTGTCGACTGTAGCGTTCCGCAGTCACCGTCTAGCGACCACACCTTCCAGGATTTCGTAAGACAGTTGCCAAACACGAAGTAGAAGGCCATGCTCGGTCAACACACACGTGGGGGGACTCAATCTCCAAGTTTTGAACTATTCCCATCTGGTGGCGCAAACGCTCGGAAATGGCTCCGCGGACGCAATTTTGCATCTCCCGACTTTCGAAGCTACTGCCCGGGGCGTGGCTGGTCACTAAGACCAAAATCACCACTTCTAAGACGTCTCCACCGATAATTACACGTTTCATGAGACACAACGTCGACACCAAGAACACCACAGCAGCATTTTTTCCTTGTTTGGGTTCGTATAAATGCAGAGTCGAATATGCTGTTTAGCAGTTGCATACATAGATCGCACACACACTTGGCATCCAAGTTTTATTGCGTCATTCAACGTTTGTTTTGTCAGCAGACACCACCGGAGCATTCGTCGCACGGAGAGGGTGACAACCAGCCAGCCCTCTTCCCCTACTACCAGGCCCCAAATCAGACGGTAATCGGTGCGACGTCTGAATCGACAGCTGTCTACACCACCGTGTCTGACTCCGACCCCTACGTGAACGCCACACCGCGTCAACACCAGATGATGCGAATACCGCCTCCGCCGTCGCTGCCACTCCCGCCTCCTCCTCCTCCTCCACCGCCGTCGTCTAACCAGTCTGGGACCCCTGTGGAGCATCCACAGTTGAGTCCGTGGATGGGGACGCTTGGCAGAGAGGCGTACATGCAGCACAGCGGTAGCAGTGGAAGCTGTGGCCTCAACACCTTCTACCGCTACTCTGTGCCGGTGAATGGTGGTGCTTTCCCAGCCACTCCAGTCTACTCAGCACCCGTGTGGACGGCGACGTCTAGCACCGGAACCATGGATGCTGGCGGGTCAGAGCAATTCTTCCAGCAGCAACAATCACCACGGCAACTGCATCTGCTGCCGCAAGACGCCTCTGATCTACCCGGTACGTTCTCTACAACCAACCAATCACATTCGAGGTACCTGAAACCCACTCACCCCCCTTGCTGTGGATTTGACTGTTTCTGTTCAAGGTTTTTAGATCGACCAACTCATTTGGCTGTTTTTTTTCGTATACTTGGTTTAAGTTCATTAAGTATTAATCGACGTGAAATGGACACGCACTAGGTGCCTCGTGGGATGAAGCAGATTCGCGTTTTGAGCACAACTCCCTCTCATTTCCCACTCTCTCTCTCTCACTCTCGCTCCCTCTTAAAACCATCAATTATTCACCACGAACTCCTCAATTCAACCAAACTGATTGTCGACGAGAAACCACAACTTTATGTGAAAACGTCTGTGGGGAAGTTGAATAAGTAGTGGGTGCGCGTTGCTGCTCAGCCTAATTGACTTGGCGCCTAACTGACTACGTCTCAATTTGGAGGCGTAAAGAGAGGTTTAAAACAATAGTTAAAATTGTGCAATTGTCATCGTTGGCGTTTCCTTATTGACTTCGCAGAGTATTCGTCAGCTACGCCTGTAAGTTCAATCATCTACGGAGGATTCTACGGCCAGACGATGGCATTCAAGGAACCTCGACGCGGTCCGACAGAGGTGAGATTGATTTCACCATTGTGCCAATTGCATTGGTTAAGACACACCCAAGGTCATGTCGAATTCCCCGGATTGGCCAGTTGTAGCGAATAGAACACACAGCAGATCAGTTGCCTCATCTTCGATTAAAGTAATTATACGTGCATTATTTAACCAGTCGCCATGATGTTTTATCCAACCTCTACATTTTTTATCAGTAAATCTGCTCTGCTCTTGCCATTCGGTCGTTGAGAGAAGCAGATGTTTGCCTCGAGAGCTCTTGGGTTTTCACTCAACGCCAAAAGAAGCCAATTTTATCGTCAAATTGTTCATTTTTTTATGACATTCTGCGAAGAAACGTCGCGTTTTTGAACGTCCCATGCTATTTTCAATTTGATTAATCGCAGTATGCATCGGATGAGTCAGAAGTGAGAGAAATGTTGAAGGCACGCGTCTTCATGATTGGCTTCTGAACTAAAATTCGTGCCAAATCCGTCAAAAGTGTGTCAGCGTAGGGTGTGTTTTCAAATTTAACCGAACAAATTTCTTCAGAAACATGGCATTTTTCGTGTTGAGCGAGTTTGAGTGATGTGTTGATCAGTGAGACATGCCGAGTTCTTGTGAACAGCCACGGACCACAGGTAGAACCAGATTCCGCAATCTAATTGGCTGGAATGTTGTTGCTAAACTTCGGACTTCCAGGTCGTTAAATGACATACGCTGTCGTTGGAATGTGTCCATCGTTTAATTGCACATTTCTACCGATAGCTACTGGTGGATGTTAAAATTACCCTGTAATTAACTAAAACAAGCTCTTTTTATCACTTTTTCTATGTTCTTCTTCCCCACAGTCTATGGGTACCTGATTGTACCTCCGCTAGCAGTTGCTCACCACGGGGAATCGAGTCAAAGACAAAGCGGCAGACACTGATGCTTTTGTGATATATTTTTTCCTCCTACTTCCCTACCTCCATGTGTATATTACTCCCGACCTTGAACACTACTCCGAGCAATCCCATTGGTCTACGACTTGTACCGTATCTGCACTACCATCCTTACCTCCCTACCTTCACACCAAATACAAAACACTTCACAAGCACAGTTTTTGTTGATGGCGTTGCGCTTATATGGTGGCTTATAGGGACTCATTTGTGATTTTGGAGTTGTTTGAGTGACACTGATTATGGCGCGCGAATTTGAACCGTCCAATCAAAACCTGTTTGTTCTGACCCTAAGAGATCGCGTTTTGCAGGTTTAGGGAAGGCACATGTATTTGGGCGACTCAGGTTTGAGATTCGACAGAATTTGGTTCCATGTCAATGTGGACTTGGGAGGCCAACGAAACTGCTTAATTGGACTTTCGGCTGCCTTCTGGCAGTAAATTCACGAATAATCGAACCTTCACTGCTCTCTATAATCACTAGCCAGGAGCCACAGCTCACATGCATAAAGGCCACGCTTGTATACAACTTCCCATCGCTTTGAGCACATTCCCGTGTAATTGGGGGGTGTTTAATCTTTACCGCGAGGCTCCATTGACGGTACACGAGGTTTGTGGCGCCGAGTTTGCAGTGATGAGGAGGAGGAGGAGGGAAGGGTAGTTGTGGCTGGGGTGGGGAGACTAGCCTTTCAAGTACACCAGTTCTTCATGTCTTTGCGAACATGGCATCAAGCGGTTGGATTTAATGGTGGAATGTAACCTCGACAATTACTGTGTGGCTTTAAAATGGCCCTAAAAAATTTAAACTGCACAAACAGAAGCGCTATCTCCCGAGCCTAACCAATTAAAGGAAGCGATTAGTTTCAACGAAACTGATGCAGCATTCACTGGGAAATCGAAAGAAGCCAAATGCAGAACAGTCCGTGAGAGCACTCAAGAGAAATTTGGAGCAAGGGAGGATGGAGTAGCCCCAACGTCCAATCTTGCAAAGGTACCATTCGTCTGAAAACTCGAGCGTTCGACAGGAACTGTGTGCAATATCGCCAAGTTCGAATCTGTGTTGGGAATTATTGATTGACTTGAAGTAAACCAACCACGAATTGAATTGGGACATCTGTTTGCTACCACGACGAGTTTTAACAGTCGCGTGTCTTCAGGGTACTATTAAGATTACCATCATTTTGGTTATAATGAAGAATTATTTCTTTTAGTCGAAACCGCGATTTTATCAGTGCGTTGACTCACCGAAGTTTGTCGTAACCTGGTCGCCAACGGTGCGCTAACAGTGATAGATTCGTCGACATTACAGAAATGTACTTCGTGTTAATTCTCTCTAGTATCCGAGAAATGTTTGCTGATTGCAAAGGCCCATTTCCTAAATTCAGGCAGAAAAAATGAGACAAACTTGAGTGCTTTACATTGGTTGAATATCGCTCAGGAGTAAATTGAGTGAATCTCATTCAAGGTCAACGATAGCCAATCGACGCAGAGTTCGCTACTGTGTTTGTAACTATTGATTTTCATTGATCTTGGGCGGAACTCCACATTTAAACAATATTCTGATAATTTGACTGATCGATAAACACCTGAGGACGCAAAACTCTTTTTACCACAGCATCGTTTATGGTTGGATTAAACAAAATTTTGCAAGAGATTTGAACCAAGGCTATCGCTAATGCGTTATTCACTAAATCAAATTTAGTAATTACACAAGGCATTCTACCATCTGACTGGTTACATAACATACACCGAGTATATCATGCTGTTGTGGATTAATATCCCAAATTTTTCACAGAAAATTTAATAAAGAAAGTGTGTAAATTAGATTACCTGAAAAGCAATTATGAGAAACTGGACTAAGCGAGTGTGTTAATTGTCAAATGCATTCAACTCTAATGGCTGAGGTTATTAAATGCTAATGGGTTTTGCAAAATATCTTATGGTTTTGTTTTCCGTATTATAACGCCCTTGCCTACTTTTCAAAATTAAATCACGCGCACAACAAAATGGCTTGATGCTTTGACCAATCAGTTTGTGGCGTTAGTGAATTTAAAGTAATGTCAAAATAGCTATACTGGCTGTGTATCAATGCACACTCTGAATTAACCGCAACGTCATTAGTTACTTCCATCCGCTTCATATCACAGGTTTTTGTTTCAAATTTCGCATACAACTCGTTCAAAAGTTGGTAGAAAATGGAAGAATTCGGAATTCTCATTGGTCGAGGGTTGATGCCTACTTTCCTTAGGGAGTTAATTACCTCTGGTTGTCTTGCCTTCTGCAAGGAAGTAGTTAATTATATTAGTGCGAAATCCCTATCGGGCATAAACAACGATTTGAGTGGATTATGACAGATTCGCAGTGCACCACACCCATAGCTCAGTTTGGTGATTAATTTCTCCCAGCCAATCAGAAAAGTGCGCTTAAAACAACTCGCCTAGTGGTTTAAACAGAACAGCCTGGAAACAATTTAACCGATTCAGGTTTAATGCAATACGCCGCTGCAAAATTAAATTAAAATTAAACTGTTTTCCTCCCTCAAAACGGTCTAATCACACAGTGTGCGGTTACCAATCCGCTGCAAGTCTGCGGCTTTGACTGGCCCCTTCCCGTGTCTCAAACCACCTCGATTGTCTTCAAGACTTAAAAAATTGTTTAATTTACGTTAAATGAAAAAAAAACTTGCTATTGTCTACCACATAAATCGTTTTATAAGGTAAATGAGACGGTAGAGTAATCAAAAATGTGCTCTTTTTGACCAATGACATGAACTAAGCCTTAATTGTACTAGCCAATCAGCTTAAAGCACCGATCGAAACAGTACGGTGATTGGCTGGTACTGCACAGTCACGCGTATTGAGCGTTTTGTGGGCAAACATTTAACATAAATAATATTGATCGATAGTGGTCCACTGAAGCGCCTCCTTAACCCTTCCGATATTGTTTCACAACACCTCGGCCACATTTGGTGTACAGTGGCCGCATGAAAAAAACTCAAATTAGGCTACAACAGACAGGTACTTCTTTGTTTACAATACGCCGTTATTGTGCACCACACTTCTGATGGGCTCATCCGATTGGCTAACACCCTGATTGGTTGCACTCAAGTCTTTTTTTAAAAAAATTGAATAACATCATCCTTTTACTCACTTTTCCCCTAATTACCAAAAACGTGTTCTCGCCAGACGTAAACATGTTTTTTAGGCCTCAAGAGCAAAGGATATGGCTCTATTAGGAAAAAATTTAATCTGCGAATCTACGTGATTGGCGCCTAAGGCGCCAATCAAAACATTCCTTTTTTTCAATTTTCCGAGTTAAATTAGGAGATAAGAAATGCGACATTTTGGGCTCTTGTAAATTGCCGTATTAATGTCCCGAAATAGCGGAAGCTTGACAAGACTGTTAGGTAGTCTTCATTGTAGCTTTAAATGTTTAAATTTTTAGACAGGTGAAAAACAAACCCCCTAGGTTAACTTAGTCAACCTAAAATGTTGCCTGAAAAGAGTCATTAAATTGCTGTATCTGCGTTGACTTCAAAGTTAAAGCTAACCAGTCAAAATGTTCCCTTCAAAAAGCCCATTTTAAACAAATTAGTTGTGACAAAATGCGCGTTCTCAATAGTCAAGTTACTTAGGCAAATTCACCCGACAATTTGTTCCACAGGTTAATGTTTTAATTCACAAAATGGTTTTTTGTCTCTATTTGAATTGGCATTAATTTTGCCTTTTGAATCGTGCTGAATGAAACAATCTGTACACATATGAACATGTCATTTGATACGTTAAAACAAAATTTGCTCTAGGCTTGACCAATCACCTGCCCTTATATCCGTTTGGCGCGTGATTTGAATGCCATGATGTGATCATCTGCGTAAAAGAAGTCGCAATTTGTTGTTGTTGTTATTGTGACTTGTCGTTTAGAAATGTTGTTTATTTAAACAAAAGAAGACCCCTGATTGGTTGGCTGGTTAGTTTTTGTTTTTTTTTGATTTTATCCCTTATACGCAAGCAACCGCCTGCCAAGTGTCACATAGACAATAGGCACTGTTTGATTCGTTTTGCTTACTAACTTAAACAACAATCTCTCATTTACCCCAAGTTTCACTGGTTTGTAAAGGACTAATGTCATTGTTGATAAAGTTATCCATGGCACAGTCCCTTCTAGTCCATTTAAACAAATTCCGCTTGCGCAATTTTGTTCTTTTGATTAATTACGCGCCATAGATCTAAACTACTCCAAGTAATTTCTGCAAATCCGTAATATTCATCTAAATTAAAGAATTAAAAAGTCAATTTTGTGCCGTCTACATGCAAAAGAAGGAAATTTATGGCGCTTGCTAAAACTATGGAGACTAAAATATATCGCCAAATACTGAAAATTTCAAATTGAATAGAAAAACAATTATGTTTTGAGGGGCAAATCCAAATATCACGTGATGAAGGAAGCGTCTCTCTGTGTGAAGGAGAAAAGCTTGTTTAAATGTCAATACTTCAATTTGCAACAGGTATAAAATGTCAGCGTCTTGACAGCAATTCACTCTGGATAAAATTCAAACTGGTGCACCCGCTAAGTCACATTAAAACACAAAAAATCGATACTAGGCACGATTGGTAGCTACCAGCGGCCAAAATATCCTTCACTATTGACACTTGCGGTTGCCGAAATAGTAAATAGGGCAATGCCAAACGAGGAAATACTGTGGCGTAAAATCACAGGCAAGAGCATTACTCATCCTTTAACAAAACAATCTCAAATTATGTTTTGGACACGCAGCTATTGACAAGTTCTTTCCGGTGTTATTCTGTCTTGAAAAAAAGCCAACTTATTAGTCATGGACATACAAACACATGAATCTAAATTATTCCGCAAGTTTGTGCTACAAATAATTATAATTTTTTTTTCAAGGAACTGAAATACATTATATTTCAGTTACCAATTAGGAACCCTCCAAATCCTGTCACCTTATTGGCTGGATATTTGCAGATTTGACCTCGAATTAGCCAATGAGCAGAATTCATTAGACTTCAAGTAACTCAAGCCACAGTTTGAACTTTTAATAAATATATATGAAGGTATTCGACTGAATAACTAGAGCAGGTAGCTACCTCGACTATGTCGGGAATAGGATATGTTTGATGCAGAGCGCGATAACTCCTAACTTGTGAAAAGGGTGACTAAACCTGAGTAAGTACACTTCCTGCCATCAGACCAAACAGCAGCCTACAATCCGTGCCCGGTTTTAAACCTGGTAAACAGCCACGCCTGGCCACGCCCAGGTAAGAAAAAATCAATAAAAATTGATTAGTGGATGAAGAACACGAATTTAAATCTTGCACGCTCAGCTAAGAACTCAGGTGGTGTTTTTAACTTCGTGACAACATGATGCTGTACCTACTTATTTACTAATTTAAGCAGTTACTCTGCTTTGCTCTTCTTAATACGAGATAAACCATTTTCGCTGGTTACTGAAACCTGTGATTCTGTGGTTCGAAGTTCGAGTTTGGCTCGATTAATCGATTTTTAATGAATTTTGACCAATGCCTGTTTGTTTCCTACACGGATAATTGATTTAAGCGCGCGGGTGAAAAACTCGGCCAATGAAATTGTCGTCGTGTTTGCTTCATTATAAATTATAAATGTATGACTGAGCAGTTATTTATCCATGGGTACAGTAAATTAGAATCTAACGGTGATTACAAGATTCTGCAAACAGAGTGTGCTAAATTTAAATTGACCAATCAGATGTGCAGTGTCTGTAAAAGAAATTTTGCCATCTTTCAGTTGCCCTACTGTCGTCTTGGCGTTTTGGAGTAAAATTAATTATCGGCATCACTCGAGCGGAAAGAGCAGGCAGAAAACATCAATTTAATGCAACAATGGAAAGAATTTGCCCATCAGACGGCATTTTATCCACAAAATTCGGCAATTTTTTGGCTTCATGCTTCCTTGATCTGTTTGATTTTCCCACATTTAAACGAGCCAATCGAGTCGTCGTGGTAATCGATATCCTCAATTTCATTGGCTGAATTTCGTTCACCTCTAGCCTCAATGTACAACAGCCCGGATCTCATTGGTTAAAACTGTCTTGCTGTCTTGTCTTTCGGTGAAATTACTATAGCCAAGGGGCATTGTAGAAACCCATCTTAGACAGCGATCAAAGAGGCCGTCTCTATTTAGAGCCCATTTAAAAAAAACTGCTACCAACATTAACTGGCGCAGCAATGCCTTGTTAAGCGCAAATCGTAACTAGGTGATAAATTGTATGCACCTACACACACACTCTCTCTCGCCATGTAAACAAAGTGCTTTTCGCTGTCTGTCTGCACGAAAAAGGATTTCGGGACAAATTGGATGCGCAATGTCGGTATCTGCAAGTGGGGCAAGAGTTCCCTCCGGTCATCACTTACTTCCTGAAGTATATCACAAACAAACGGTTAGTACACCCCAATAGTGGAGAGGCGTCTGATAGTTCAGACAACTCCACAAAATCAACAACACCCGAAATGTTTGAAAATGGCTGAATTTTATCGGTCAAATTATGTCCAGATCAATAAAACTAGGAGGCTGAAGTTATCGAAGAAGATGGAGGTCAACGCATTGCTACAGTTGGCTACAAAAGACGCCTGCGCCAAGCGGCATCAGGTTAGACGCCAGCGGTGATGAGGTCACGGGTGTCGATGAGGTCCACAGTCACGGTTTTTGGGGACATTTTATGACGAAATTGCCCGGGGCAGCTCAGCGACCAGACCTGACCTCAATTAATGGTTGAAAAGGTCTGTGGAGAGTTGATTTTATCTCCTTCCAGACACGACAGTGGGTAGGTGTCAAATGCTGGTGTGGATTGCTCATTCGGTTGCTGGAGTGTGCCAAACTAGACGCATTCGAGGTATCATTGGCGGATTCGCTCTAACATCCGCCTAATTAGCGGCACCGTGCACACTTGGCTGGCTGGTGTCCGTCGATGGTGCCCGTGATCATTTATGTCACCCTCAGTTACTAAGGCAACAGTTCACTCGACTTTTCATTGGCTGACGAAGTGAATCTTACCATAGTTTTAGCAATCGTCCAATTAAATAACATTCTTCAAGTTTGGAAACCCAGCTAACCGGATCGATCAAAATTCAACCATAATTAGGAAAGACGAGTTCAAATGTACATACCTTCAACAACTACCATAATCTGCATTACCAAACACCCCCTGTGACCTTGAGTTCAATCCTAGAGGATGCTTCTAATTAGGCAATTTCTGCTCTGCTTAGTAAGGCATAGGACCACAATTAAAATGTGCCCCAATTCATCAACACAACGTGCTGCCAGTGAATTTAACATTGCGCTCAAAAAATACCGTAATTTAGCAAATGTCGAGCCTAACCGTACGCGCTGACAACTGTCAATGCAACCGTGACATTGGTAACCACCAATTAACCCGCATCGGTAACCGACGTTGTTTGTGCAGTGAACGGTAATTGGTATGTCAGACAAATGTCATCACAATGTGGACGTTTGGCAGTTGAATGCTCTGTAATTTGCACAACAAAAATGCAACTTTCATTCAGGCATCAATGAAGCACTCTTTGCCGTAGCAGACGAAGTGGCAGCGACCAGCTCTACAGTCGTATCCCTCGAGGTCGCTGACCACACAGAACTCCGTCTTGCAACCAGAGAACACTACGTGTACCTTCTCTTTCAAAGCACCTCTGCGGTTCCAAGACGAGCGCACTGGTCGAAGCCACGATTCCAGTTCGTTAGAAGGTGTTCTACGCCTGTTTTTGCAACGACCGTTCACACAAGGGGCTGCGCCGAGTTGACAGGCATTGTCTTCACATTCGACAAGTCGTCTTTCCGCAAGCGTCAACCAGGCAAAGAAGAGCAGCAATCCGACAAATTGGCCTTTCATGAACTAAGGAGGGTTACAAAGCCACTTTTCATGGGTGTATTATAGGGGTCCATAGAGTTGACCTGATCGATTATCGGAAAATTGCCAATGACGGCCTGAACGTTGACCTCAATATCGACCCATGTCGATTAATACGCATTATACACAATCCGAGTTGAAGTAAATGCGTATTTTCAGTTAAAGGTTAACATTCCGACTAGTGCTGTTTAAAATCACGCGTTTCTTGTCCTAACCTCACGTGATTGGTGTATTCAAACAACGGCCTTAAAAAGTTCATTTAAACAAAGCTCAAAAACATTCCTGAGTAAACAAAGGCAAAAGCATTGCATTAAAAATTTAAATTTGTGAATTTTGATTATGTTAAAAACAGGTGCAATGAGTTTGGCCTGTCAGTTGTGGTGGAAAAGAGTGGAAACGCGTCGCATTTCAAAGGATTCAACAGTGAACCCCGCTAAACTCATTGACCTTGAAGTTGCAAGCACAGGATTGGTTAAAATGGATGCGGCATCTTTGAGTTCTTGCTCATGAACGCTTTAGAATCCATTTTAAAAATTTTATCGATTGAATTACGGGCATGCAACTCCATGGCCCTATTTAACTGGCTAAAGCGAATTAGTCAGTGGCCACGCCGTGACCGTTGTTGAATGCCTTCAGATGAAATTTCAATAATATTGCCGTATTTTTCTTCTCTGGCAGTTTTAGCAAATGTTGAAAAACCAACCGTCCATTTCAGTGACTGACTGACTCACAAAATCTACCACGAGAATTTAAAAGCGATTCGGCCTGTGAATCATTTTTAAGGGGGCGGGGCGTTACCAATGCCCATCGCCTGCCATCTCCCATAAAATGCTAACTTGACTAATGCCAGTTACAACAGCGTCTAAAATCCATCAACCCCGCGACGCGTCACCCCAAACCAACTGTCCATTAAATCGGTTTTGTCCGTCTGGTTAATTTTGTTGCAGTATATGAGGGAAAAATAACACAAATTTCCCCGACTCCGGCCAGGGCATGAGTCGACTGAGATTGCAAAAAAAGTCGATACGGTAAACAGACGAGGCAGGCTTATTTTGGCTGCACAAAACGACTCGCGAAGGCAGGAAGCGGGAAGAGGAAGGAGGTGAACGTGACACTTGATTTATGACTGTTCTAGTTGGGCTAGCTTTAGTGCCAATTAAGCGACAGTTGGGTAGTTCATTTTGGCGTTGTTGAAATGTGCACTAAACAGGCTCAAAAATTTGCGGATTTTCGAGTTTGTAAAAATACTCCCGACCTAGTATGACCTGCCAGTAGCGTTTGTTGGAAGAAATTCGCATAATCACGAGAATCCTAATCACTGAGAGTACACACGCCATTTATGCACCACCGCTAACCCTTTTGTTTACTAACCAAAGTTTGCCGTCTGTCTGGACAGTCACCCAAAGTGCCAGAAATAATTTTCTCTTGATTAACTTTACAGCATTTGAGCTAGGTGTTGACGCAAACTCATAATTTCCTCTGTCAAATTTGACCTCGGGTTTGGTTTTGCGCCAAGGTCTTCAGTGATTCAAACAAATCGGCTTCAATTGAAAAAAAAGTCGCACTTTTAGGGTATTTATTTGAGTAAGCAGATCTAAGTTCAGTGTCGTCAATTAGTGTCGATGGGAATTATCGATCAGCTCATCGCGTTCTTCTGGTTGGTTGAGAATCAAAATTCAATTGAAAAGAGATATATACCGCCGATTCTGTTTGAGATTTCCTATTAAACGCATGGATTAAAAAATTTGTTTCAGCATCTCCTTGGCTGGCTAATTCCTATCCCCTTATAGCTTGACATAAGCAATAATTCTACTTTAGTGTTGACCAACACTGACATGGTTAATTTTGCCGCGCACGTCAACCGGCGCATTTGATTGGTGGAGAGTCGACAGTGTTGATGGTTTTTTGTCGAACGCCCGTCCAAAGCCACTTCAAAAGAAGACGGTCCTAGTTTGTGGACAGGAACGTACGTTTCAGTCGCGTAAGCGGCAGCAGCAAACGAGGTCACGCTTACTAAAGGATTGTAGTATTTGGGACGAACGCTAGGCGTTTATTGAGGCCAGTGGGGTAAGAGAGAGTGAAATTTGCAAAAAGAAAGCACAGACGTCATTGGCGGGCACTAATATGTGCGAGATGACACCTGTCGTGTCCACGGCTAGGCCATTTTACTCGTTGGACGTTCAAATGACTTCGAAAGAGACACGATTTTGGAAGGAAGTCAGCCCCGAATGTCGTCGACACAGGGGTGGGGAATCCAAACTACTAGACATGACCAAACAGCTGTTGTCGCAATTTGTGCATTACAAAGTTTCATTTCCTGAATTAAACCGGACAAGTAACTACTCGTTGCCATGGTGAGTTAGTGTAGTTAATTTAAACAAAGATTGCCCGCCAAATTTGGTTAAGGAAATGCGTGATGGTTGTGGATGAAGAGAATCAAACCCGACTACACGCAAAACTCGAAGACAGGAGATGGCAAACTTTGCGGGTTGGCTGAATCACTAGAGATTCCAGTCGCGGTAAAAGTTGCGGTTACGAAATGCCACGCAAAAACACAAATGTGCCGCTTTTTATCTTCCTATTTAAACAACTGGCGTCGAGTAACTTGGTGCACAGTCGGTGACTGCGATTGGCGCCAGGCAATTCTGTGGTTACGCGCTATCCCGAAACCGGTCTAAGTGCGAAAAGGCATCAGAGTGACTCAGAAGCTACCGTGAATTTCACACACACACACGACTGATTACCAGGCAACGGTGTTTAGAGTGTGGAAATTGGGTTTTTGTGGCCAGGGCCATAGCCAATCAATGCCACAGACTCGGTCAATTGAGCAAACGCATTGGTTAAACTCAAATTGCTATTATTGATTTTATTCTGTCGAACAGATCCAAAACTAATGTCTATTTGAGGTGTGTTAATTTCTGGCCAATGGAACTAAATGTGATGATAATGATTATGACCACATCAAGGCCACAAGTCGCTTGAGTCGCGGTCGAACAACTACCCAATGGAATCTTTTGTAGAGTGTTGATGCCCAGGTTGGTTGCGATTTTCATTGGCTACTGGAGTTAACAGCACAGTTGGCTTCAATTCAAATTCATAATATCGATTTTTGTGCGGTACATTTGATGCAATTCGTTTAATTGATTAGATTCAAACATAAAGCATCCTTTTTGATAATTTTGCTCTCCAGACAATAAAAATCGATAATGATAATGACGATGGCGGCCTGTGCAAGGCCAAAATTTAATTGGATCAAGGTCAAGTAACTGTCCAATGAAATGTCAAGGAAGTACCTAATGAGGATGATATACAAAGCACCAGCTCAAGGCCATGGTGGTGCTTATTGGATAAAAGCAGCCAATTGCAATAATAACAATACTATACTTGACTTTTTCATGTTAGTTTGTATGTGCAGATAATGGAAGGAGGTTAATCGATAAGGTAGAATCAGGTGCATGGCAAAATCGGCCCGTTGAGGTAATCAGCTCTCCCCAACAAATCGATTGACACCTCGTACACAAAGAGAGCCGATATGCAACCAGTAAAGTTCCTTTGATATTGCCAAGGCAACGCGCTGATTGGTGCAAGAGAACCACCTACAACAACCACAGAACAACGCGTCAACTTCTTCCAGCATTCAGCAAGTTGGAAGGAAAAAAAAGCGTTTACAAACTTACCCAACCAGAGGTCGCCTACGTTGTTTAAAATGCCGTCTGTGCCAACGAGTTCGCCAGAAACCATTTGATCGTCCACAATTAAGCTAATACGACCCTTGTTCCTAAAAACGATTAAAATCAATAAGTGTTACTGAAATTATTGTCAGTAGGATTTGTATTTGGATTATTGGTGAATCGAACTTGCCTCAACACCTGAATAATGTGCCATCTACCGTCGGCTACGTAGGGCGCAGATTTCAAATTGAGCGTCTTCCGCGAATCAAGACTTGTGTTTTCACGATTGCGAACTGAGGTCTGCGTGTTTCCTATTAAGCTGAGATAGATTTCTGGTCGTCCGTTGCTTAGAGAAAGAGCAAGAAATTCCTCAAACTTTTGACTGTCACCGGGGAGGAAGAAGATAAGGCCGTTGGGTGCAGCAGTTTTCAGTTCGATTCGCACGTTGTCCATCATGTCCCTAAATTTCAAACGATAACAATCTTTTCCTTCTGGATTGTCCCAAAAACATTTTTTCCACTCATTTAAATTAAGTAGGGAGATTTCCCATTAAAAAACTTACACTCCTCTAATGAGGCCAGAATATTTGATAAGCGTGGAATCCTCAAAGTTCACAGCTGCACGAAAACGCGCGTCACCATCTTTTGCTTCTTCACGGCTGGTTGGCGGCGAAATCGGCTCACTTAGTGGCCGCTTGTTGAAGGATTTTACCAAATCATCGTCGTCATCATCTTTGTTAGGTACGTCGTGTTGCACGTCTTTGGATTGGATGCCTATTTTGGCCTACAATGTCAGACCGACGGTCAGTAAAATTAAAGTCTACTGAAAAGTAGTCAGTAGTGCGAAGTGTTTTACCCTGATCGCGTCACAGGCCATTTCTTCGGCTTCTGCTGAAATCGCCTGTTGAGCCTCCACGTCGTTCAGCAGATCCGTTCCGCGCTTCGTGGCGGTTAGACGGCGAACGAAGGACATATGCTGCAGTGGCGTTGAACACGCACACTCATGATCCCCTCCTAAAGGCCTGCAAATGCGTTTGGGTGAGGTCGGATCGTTTCCACACGTGGAATAACCCTCGCCACACGGAGGTCCCTGCCATTGGATTGTGTTCTCCCAATGCTCCAGTTGGTGATCTCTTTGTACCACATCTGGTTCCCGTGGTGGTCCAGCTAACACCAACTCTGCGCCGTTAATTGTAACCTGGAAATGAAAAAAAGACGCATTTAATAATCTTCCGACAATTGCCACTATCAATTTCACCGAAAATAACCCTGGATTGGCTGCTAAGTTCAAAAAAACTGGCTCTTTACCAAATACGGTACAGTCGAACGTGATTGGTCAGATGTTTGTTGGTAATTGGAGTCCACAAGTAGGCGTAATGTCAAAATCAATAAAGTTTGAAATCGACGAACTACCTGCTGAATTGCACCAACAAACGTTTGCTTGGCTGGGACAACATCATCGAGGAATCGACTCTCTTCGTCTGGTATTCCACCAAGGTAGACGGGACTTTTCGACAAATCGAAACTCGTTAGCTGGAATTTAAAAAAAGAGTGCCTTAAGAGATTCACGAATTTAAACAAAGGTAAGGCGTTAAATTTGAACGTACCGCTCTGCGAAGATCCCGGTTTAGCCTTGGCAGCCCTTGTGGCAGCTGATGAAAACAAACAAGAATTAATTTTTAAATTTTAAAGGTAATATTATAAAATTACATTATTTGCTTGAGTGAAGACTCTGAGCATCTGACATAACCGCTTTGACAGCCCTTAGTTAGACAACTTAACTCGATTTAAACAAACTCCTGAATTTTACTCAATCGAAAATCGATATTGCTGACAGCGTAACACTGCAAAGTGCAACGCGACTCACATTGACAAAAGATAATCAACAGCGTTGTGTTTAAATTGCACGCGTATTGTCGCCAGGCAAAGTGACCTTGATCTGACCTTGACATCGTGCAACGCGAATGGTCGCCTCAGAGTTGCGCACAAAGGAAACCACTTACAAGTTTAACGCTGGTGACCGGTTTGTCGTCAAGCAGAACAGTTAAGTGGAGGGGATTCTTGTCGATCGTTAGACGATGCCAAGCCGACTCGCTGACCGAACAGACCTTGGCGATAGCCAATCGTTTTTGCGGCCCAAAGTGCACCAGTAGCCATTGGTAGAAGTAGGCGCGCGAAAACCTATTAATCCTGCCGACTCGCAGGTAGACCTTGACGCAGCCATCGGCGTCGGCTCGAACCACAACGAACTCGCTTTCTGATTGGCTAGGCGGAATGGCGAACATAATGCCTGCAAATCAGGCAAAAAAGACATGTAAACACGAAGCACGACTGCGCGAAAACGCAAGAAAATGCGCTCACCTTCGTCGGCTGTGCGCAGAAAAGTGATTTCCATCTTGAATTTGCGCTTCCGCAGAGCATCAGATCCTGATGGACCGGCGAGACGTATGAAGGCTTTGCCGTTGAATTCGGGAATAATCGTGGCTTCTAAAAATTCACAATTTTGGTCAGAAGGTTTGAGATGTGCGTACCAGTGCCTCCTGATTGGCTATAAATGAAACCCTGGATAGAAACGTGGATAGAAGCTCCACGACACCGTTTCGCTATCTAATTGGCTAGGAAAGTGGCCCTGCACCAACGGGGTACGGACCAATCGGGAAATAGGACGTAAACTGACCTGACTCGCAGAATTTGCCCTGCCAACCAGGCACGCAGACACACTTGGAGAATCCTTCGTCAAATGTCGACAGGCACTGACCGCCGTTGCGACAGGGATTGTTCAATTTGCAATGAAACAAGGTCTGCGGTTTCAACTTCGTCGGTTCGTTGTGGAGGACCTCAGCAAGACACTCCTGAACACCGTCATCTGGCGACTTTGTCCATGTGAGGTTGGCTTTGCCGTCCACGACGAAATATTGGATGTTGGATCCCGCGTCGACTCCACCTGAGGTCACTTCTGCTCCAGTCAAGCAGCCCGAAAATCCGCAATTAGGAACACGCGCGCTGAGTGAAAAAGGACATTTAATCCATTAAAACAATCATTTACTGACGTCGTAGATGGAGAGACCTTAGACCTTGTTTAATTGCAAATCGTTGGTCATTTTTCATTGGCCGTTGAATCCTGTCACCTCATTGGTCGGATATTTAAGAGGAACTCACCTTCCTGATGAAAGACAGCCAATCACGAGCCCGCCTTCTCGATGATTAAACAATTCACCGTATTCATCCGATCTCAACAACCTTGAGCGCGAATCGTCGTATACCTCGAAGGTGGAAGAAGTTAGAACCCCAAGAACCAATCCGTCGTCAGTTGACACCCTGGCTGACACCATGTGTGGACGTGGCTCCAGTTTGTGCTTGCCAACGACCTGCGTGACCTTGCCGCTTGCGAGGTCTTTCACGTAACTGAAAATCAGACAAATTAAAATTACTAAACAAACGTTTCTAATAATAAATGTGTTGCTGATTTGTTGTAAGTACAACCGATTTATTACCTCAATTCTATCTGCCCAGGTGCAATCGCCACCTTGACGAAGTGATACTGAGAGACGTCTGTGGCGCTGGGAACGGTAAGGAGAGCTACGTTGCCAGCGGTAACGCTAGCAGAAGGCGTGAAATTGAGGCTGAGAGTGAGCGGGCAGGTGATTGGCTGAGTTGAGCGAATAACTGCAGTGGCCATGGGCGTCATGTGGATTCCCTGAAGCATCGTGCCAACGTCGTTTCCATGGAGTGACGGTTTTGGCAAAATGGCGGCATCAGGAGCTTTGATTTTCGATTCTGCGTTTGTTTAAATAGACACATTTGTAGATCATTAAGGCGGGACAATACTACTTACATATTAATAGTAGCGAAGACTTGCATTAATTCCATTGATAACACCTCGACCTTACGCCATACATGATTCAAATTAGACAAAATAATAGAACGTTAATCGAAGTAAATGATAAAAAGCCTCAAATGAGGAGTATTCTTCTTCGTTTAAAGTTACCTTTTTTTGGCATCACGCAACCTTGGCGACGGTTGCTATGGTTACAGTTTAATCAACATGAAACCTACCTGAACAGTGTTCACCGGTCAGCAGTTCGCCATTTGGACAGATGTCACATTGTTGACCTTGAATTCCAGGTTTGCATTTGCACTGGCCAGTATGTGGGTCACATTGGGTACCACTGACAACGCCAAATCGATTGCACGAACAACCTTGGCGTTAAAAAGTGCAAATTCGCTCAATCAATAAAACAGTTTAAATGAGCAAAATGTTAAATCTGATTGCGTGTGTGGTTACGCGGGTTTCCATCGGTTACATGCTGTGCTGCCTACCAATCAGTGAAATCCCCGGCGAAACAACCAATCACATTGGTTTCTAGGCAGAGCAACCAATAAACGAAGGCAGCAACTTACTGACACAAGGTTTGCCATTGGAGATGCCCCAATAGCCGGCAGCGCATTGGTCACATTTTGCACCCTCAACACCCCAGTGACACCGGCATCGACCCCTGTGGTCGCAGAATTGGTCTCTGGAGCCAATTTTGTTGCAGCCGCATCCGTTCTCCGAGACGCCGTCTTGGAAAACAAACAGTGTGTGTCACAAGCCAATCAGAGTAGAGCAAATCCGACCAATCACTGGGCTAATTGGCTGATTTGAGGGAAGCGCCGGAGGGTACCACTGATTTCTGCCGAATTAGTCCCAATCAGCCATGTACACCAGTCTAAAATCGAGCCTTAATTCTATTGGGCCATTACTTTTCAGTGAACACGTTTTGGTCTAATGAATACGGCCATTATTTCCTTTGTCGTGTTTCATATTAGTTAATTTTGCATTATATTACTAAAAAAACAGTTAATTACGTGAGTCAGTAATGCAATTTTATTTGTTTTAATATCCTAGGAGCGCAAAAAAGATCAATTGACCCAAGGTTATTCATTGGTTCATTAAAACAACTCGGATTAGCGATAACTTAAACACCATCATTTGTAGGAGGCAGTACAATAGTGACATACCAGCTTGAATATCGACGTTGGTGGAGGAGTTGGCGGTGGAGGCGTAGGCCTTTCGACACGCGATGCCCGAGCCATCGACCTTGACGGTGATCTTCTTGACACAGGCCTGCCTGCGGAGTTCACAGGCGCTGGGGTAGATGCGTCCATCAGTTCCACAAACCTCTCCAGGCAGACCCGGTTTGGGACAACTTTCGCGACACACGCACTCGCCGTCTAGACAACGCATTCCCAGTGGGCAGGGCTTCGAACAGGTGGCTAAAGACGCCAATGCTTAGATATACTACTTAAACATGCAATTAAGTAGCTGGGCCCTTGAGGACTGTTAAGACAACCAAAATGGGATTCTGGATTGCCAGAAACTCAGGGATGAGCTTGAAGCTTACAACTAATCGATATTTGAGGTGAGAGAACACGTATGACTCACCACAAGGCTTCGAATCGACAACTTGGATGTCCTTTTGAATGGAGCACGCGTGAACCTTCAGGAGGCACTCGTTTTCGTAGGTCCTTCCATCCGACCCACACACCGGCTTGTTGACCTTGAGCACAAAATTGATGCGTTTAGACAATCTCTCACGGTTAATAGGCTAAATAAGGTAATTTTACCAACTTACCATCAGACAATTGGTTGGACAGGCACAAAACGCACGACCCGCTTCGTCGGTTTGGCAAATTGAATAGAAGTGGCACACCTTATTTTGACAGGCATCTGCAATTAAAAGTGTAAAGTGCGTGTTTAAAGCAACTTTTACACCTGGCCAATCGTGATTGGTTATCAGGTTTTGAGATAGCCAAAATTAGATACTTAGAGAACAATTACTTCTAGCCAATGGTGTTTCTTTTGTTGCTGAGACATGACCTTCAACTATGATTGGTCAGGGCACTTATATTTTGCGAAATCAGTAGACTTCGTTACAAAAATTGACCTTAAATTCGTAGGAAATAGTTAAGTACAATAGAGAAAAGAAAACAGCAAATTTGTGTTTAAAAACCGACACCTGATTTGTAATGACTTATGACACATCACAAAAAGACTACTCTATTTCCACATTAGCAGTAATCATTGTAACACGATTTTTTGTCTTCATTTTAATTAATGGCCTGAAGGTTAAAAAAAGGAAAGAGTGAATTAGCTGGATGACGCAGAACAAGTGTGCACGTAGCGTTTGGCAGGGCCATGCGCAGTTTAAATCGACGATTCGTGTAACTTTTCTGACGATTTAAACAACCAGTCGTGCATAAAACACGTTAAGATGGTGTCCACGCAGTGTTGATTCATAACACAACGGGTTCGAGTGATTGACCAATGGGAACGCAGCAATGGCATCTTACCACAGGATCCCCTCTGTTTGACCTTGAGCTGTAGTCGACCACTATGACAGGCGGCCGCACGTAGGTGGCACTCGCTGCGATAGGTGCGTTCGTCGTTGCCACACACCTTCCCACCGAGGCCTCCTTCCGGACAAAATGGACAGCCGCATTTTAGGGTTGGTCCGACGTAATTCAGGGCTCTGTCGCGATTCGTCTGGGTCGTTTCGATGGTGCAGATCTCGAAGCCGCGGCAGTGCAGACCGTTGCGTTCACACTCGTTGTTTGATGTAGCTAAAACGAGGTTCTGGATGAGGATATGGACTTTCTTAAACGTGATTAGTGGATTTTAAAAAAAAACTGGCCAATCAAACGCCCCAATTAGCTGTGATCAGTGTGCAATCGATTGGACGAAAACAGTGATGTCTACAGTGAGTTAAATTGATAAATAAAACTATGCAGTGAAAAAACTATCAATTTACAGCACTGTCCAGCGTAGACGACCCAGATGTACTTCTTGTTGAGGCAGGCCGTTCTCAGGAGGTGACAGATGCTGTCGTAGGTGACCCCGTCGGATCCACAGACCGGCACCACGATGGCCGGACAGCTGTCTGGACACACACAAGACCGCCGACCTTGAATATCCACCCGACATTGCTCGCCTGGCCAATTACAGCTCTGCTCCAGACAGGGGTTGACACCTAACAAGCAAAACATTATCTCAATGGCCGCCCGAACAACTCACCAATCAGATTTGAGGTCATTCTTGGCGCCTTCAATGAATTTAAAGGAATTGCTGTCAATCATAGCCAATCGGAGAGCAATAAAATCGATAAATTTGATTGAATTTTCAGCACATTTAAAAAACTAAATCCCGTGATATATCAACCGTGGTCATTAATGATACAACGGGGCAATTAACCGAATTTTTTATTTCCTTACTAAATCCCAAATGATGTTTGATTAGTAGGTGGTTAAATTCAACCCACAGTGAATAAAATTGGTCACGATACCCACATCACAAGCTCATATTGAAATAATTAATTATCGCGAGGGCATTCAACATGGCGGTCGCCAGTAATCACGCAAGCATTATCTAGGATTGTTTTAGTCAGACGAATTAAAAAATAACCAATTGCGAAATCAGTTGATTAAAACATACATTTAAAATAAAATTGATCTTTGAAATCTGTCGGAAAATACTGACAGTGTAAAAATATTTCTCAAATATCATTCACAGAGAATTTGATAGGCTACGGTGTCAGTTTTCGATTGGTTAAAACTGCAGCCATATTTATTGGAAAAATCGAAGCACGTGTTAGCCAATCAAAATCAGCCTTATTTTTCACGGTGGTTAACACGATTTTGCCAGAGATGGAGACGGGTTAAAAAAAGGTTTCTGCACTACAACATAACGAAGTGAATCATTTCTTCATCGTGGTCTTCTTCTGTTTTTGACCTTTTTTCAAAGGTGGTTGGTAATGTTGTGGAGCAGAGAAAGACAAGAAATTGACAGCCAACCAACCAGCAGCACAGTTGTGGTCAAAGATGACACGAAGATGCTGGTTGTTGAAGCAGGCTTGGTGTCGCATGACACAGACGTTTGCGTACATTCTACCGTCGTTGGCACACACTGGCTTGGAGATGGCGTTGACATCAGCGGTGGTATTTGTGGACGTGTTGCACTGCGACAACTCCTCACCGCATCGACACACAGGTCGTCTGTGCTGGTCCAGCTGGCAGACGGTGTCCATGGGACACGAAATCGAGTCACACGGATCTGTGTGACAGGAGGGTGTGAACACACACACACACAAACACACGCAACAAACACACTCAAACGCATGCAACACACGACATAACATCCATGAAGGAACAGGCCCTTTCAGAATGCGTGTCCCACCTGATTCCACCAATGATCGATTGCACAAAATATCGATTTTATCTAATTCCGGTGACTGGGTAGGCCACTTTGCTAATTTTCAATCACTTTAGTTAAAAATATGTTCGTTTTAATAAAGTGGCTGCCTGATTTACAAAATGTCAGATTTAATTATGATTTTCGGCTGGGAGAGACTACGTTTCTGGCGAAAATGAGCCTGGTTTGAATGCAGCAGTCAAAATATCGACCAGACAAGACAGGGAAGCGCATGCAACTGCCACAAGATACAGAAAATCGATCAATCGATGAACATACCACATTGGCTGGAATATTTAAGAGTAATATTAGACATAATGGAGCAAGCCTCGCGCCTCAGATGACAAAGGCTCTTATAGGTAACGCCATTCGACCCACAAACTGGTCCGGCGTCGTCCGCGTCGCCAACATCGAAACAGGTCTGATGGCAGACGCAGCGTGGCTGACGAAAGTCGCCTGATGGTACGCACCATGCATTGAAAGCACAGGTGTACCCCCGGCACGGATCAGTGATCCCACTTTCAATCGGAAATCGATATCGAAAACATGCGCCTGACGAGTGAGTTGAGCAGGTTTTGAGTAGGAGCAGGGGGAGCAGAATAACTCGCAAAAAGGTGGTTGTCATTTGCATGTTTGGCTACAAATGAGCGTGTGTGTAACAAGAGGAGAATGGTGGATTGACCAATGGCGAGGCAAGGAAGGCATTCTAGGCTTCTGATTGGCTAACGCATCTTCGACTTTACATGGGCTATTTCGACGCAAGCACAAAGTAAATCAGGGAATTAATGAGAGAGAGAAAGTAAAACGGGTGTTTCCAAAGCAATGTAGTAAACGTGTCCTAAATACTATTGGTTAGTTTTGTTTATTCGCGGTTGCCATGGCGCCGGCTGTTAAAATCGGACGATTTCTTACCTTCAGGAGGAGTCTTGCACGGGCCGTTGTGGAGCCGACGTTTAGGCGTCTGCTGAAGACACGCAGCTTGTTCGAGGAAGCACTCCCCCGGATATGTGACGCCATCGTCGCCGCAAATTGGTTCTCTGTACCAACTGGCTGAGCAACGCAAGTGGTCGCAGCTGCAAATCGAGCGCTCTCCATCCAATCGCATCGTCGTCACCGCAGAATTGTAGGGATTGGCGTTCGCGGGGATAGTTGGTGTGCACGATGCACCATATTTACAGTAGTTTGCGTAGTCACAAAAGATCGGCTCCACGTCTGTGAGGAATTTAAAACACCACCTAGATTTCGGTGCAGCGGCTTTTCATCAGGAAAAGCTTTAAAATAATACCTACTTATGGTTTTACAGTACCGGTTTTACAAAAGAAGTCGTGATGGTTTTTATTTGAAAAGTTGTTCTACTTAAGCGGAGGTAAGATTACTAGATTGAAGGCCTTCCGGCAGCGAGCTTTTAGTTTCAATTATTTGGTCCTGGCAGAAAACGTCAGTGACCAATCAAAACTCCCTTAATCTAGTTTTCTGTCCTTTGATTGGTTAATTTACGGCCGACAGGTGTTGGGGGCCGTTGCAGCTTGTCCTAATGCATTTCGGTGCAGATGTTTGAGTGATTACGCAAAGCGCGCAATCACTCACACAATTGACCTCTATTTCGAACACACACAAACAGGTGTTTCTCAAACTTGAGCTGTGCTGTGATTGGCTAGAAACTGTTTCATCTCGAAATTAACACCCAGCGTGGGCGCTTGTGTGATGAGGACGATGATGATGATGATGATGACGATGAAGCCACCATCAAAAGAAGCTGAGGAGACTTCGCCGGAATATGACTTTGTCGATGTGAAAAATCGGCGCAGCTGGTGTGCGCAACTTCAAATGCCATTTATGCGAATCTAAACGTTTTGGCGGTTGTTTAAATCCAGGCTAAATGGCTACCACGAAAAAATATTCGCTTTCTCGTGAACAAATCTATTTTAATGTCCGCTTTTCAAAATGTATGCAGACAAATCGGAGTATAGAGATTCACTATCAGACAACAGTTCTGTTTAACTGTTTTGTGATAGAAAAAAAGTGTTAAAAAGATTAATTGAGTGTTTAAAATGAAATGTGCCTGCGCGCCAATTCTGAGAAATTAAATTCTGATTGGTTAAATCGACCAAATTGCATGAATTAGTGTAATTGTAATTACTAATTGCACTGCTCCACATACCACACAAGCTGCAATTCCTCGTGACTATCTAAGTGCGCAGTACTGTCGACGGCAGAGTCCAAGCCACATTTTTGTTACATGTAGATTTTAGGTTTTGTGTGCAAATATTGACAAATTTGGTTTCGATGTCTACGAACAAGGCTGACCACCCACGTGATGAGAGCACTGGCGTAGTAGTAATTCAAATACCGCATTCCTGTTCTTATCTGTTCAATAAATCACCACACAGTGATGGTGATGATGATGGCGATGATGATAAGGATGACAAATCAATCGATAATTACCAGGGAGTCTGGCAGGGCAATAGCCCCAATGTTGGATGAAGAGATTTTCGTCATCACGACTGCCTTTCTGCTTTGCAAAGCAGGCGCGCAGTTTAAGGAGGCAGGGATTAAGGTAAGTGTTGCCGTCGCTGCCACACACCGGTTGAACGGTAACCAATGAGCACGTCGGAGTGCACTGGGGCTCCTTCTCCACCAATCGCTTCGCTCCAAGGCCTCCGATTGGTTCCCGGTTGCCCTGAAAGAAGCCATCTTGTTGTGGCTTGTCACCGAGTTCATCTACGACCTTGGGTTTGGTTTGAGGCGGTGGTGGTGGCCGCTGTTGAACCGGCGTCTGTCGACTTTTTCGAAGGATCGCTAGTTCTGAAGAGTTGACAAAGAAAAATCACACACACACACCTAAAACTATCCAATTACCGAATTCCCATAGCTGGCGTTTTCGGCTAGGTCAGCGGGATATCACTAACATCTGAGTTGACGTGATGTGAAAAACGATGTCGCCAAACAGACCGTGAGAACAAAACACTTAAATCTAAACTCAAAATATGCACAAAATCTGGATTTATACGTGGGCCGGGTTAGCAATACTTGACAACCAATCAAATCTGTGCTTCCCGAATCGACCAATCACTCACCAGCTTGCTGTTGGCAGTCGCGCTGATTGACCGCAGTCCACGAGACAATGGTTAGGGTGGCTTGTTGAAGACACGCGGCGTGTAGCATGTGGCAGGTACTGGCGTATATGAGGCCGTTGGACGCGCACACCTCACCCGTGCTCAGACCGCACCTTCGTTCGGAGTTGAGAGCGCTGGGGGTCAGACAGGTGCAGACTGCGACTCGAGTCAGTGCGGCGTCATTCCACGCCTCGCAAACAGCGCCTGGATGACACTGTTTCCGCGAACAGGGGTCCTCCTGATGACCTTCAAAGTGTCGAATAAAAAAGCCACCGAGGTCACGTACATTTCGAGCATGATCATCTGTATGCGAATGTATCGATTTTTTGATTGTGTAATGCCACCGGCGCTAAGTCACCTTTCTCAAGCGCTGATTGGTTAGCCAATACAGAAAACAACCCAAGCTCTAATTACCGCGATCAATAAGATTAGTTAAACGAATGTCGTAAATAAATCATCTAAAGTTTCGTAAAATTTTCCGTGCTTCCAATTAATAATTGGATTCATTTATCGATTTGTTCCCGAATTGTGGTATGCACAGCAAATAAGTCTTACTTTTTTACTCATTCCTTTTATTACTCTTATTCTAAGGTCTAGTGTGTGACCTTGAATTGAGAACTGGAAAGGTGAGAATATGAGTCAGTGTAAGGTCATACACCTGGCTCCACAATGATCGTTTCTCACACTCCACACAAATACACATGAGAATTTTGAGCATTTGACGCTACCATGAGTATAACGTTTGTTCAACCACGTTCACCTAATATTGGTTGCCAATATCGGAATATCGGAAAACACGCACTATCCAATCAAAATTGACTTCAGAAGGAGCAAAAGCGTACTTTCAGATGCTATTTGTCGTCCGCACAAAACGTTTGAAGATGGAAAATAATAGGTTACTCAACCAATCAGGTTTCAACAAGGGCTCTTTGCTTCCTGGTGATTGGATAGGGACACTGTAATTTGATTGGTTGGCACTTTCTGTACTCCCCGTTTTTTACAAAAATGTTTCTAATTGTTTGTAAAAATCCTTGTCGATTCAAATTTTCGTTCAAAAAGTGAATTATTCGAGTGAACAAATATCACATTAGTTGCGAAAAATAATCTTGTCTTGTACCGAAAATTCGATAAAGAGTTGAGGGAGCAGAATATTTTGCCAAACCAATAGATTAAACCATTTAAAATTCAGATTTCATATAAAACGCACAGTTTGCTCTCATTTTGAGAAAAACGGGGATAGTTGTGATATTTATCACTAATAATACCTGGTGCGTTCATTGCAAAAACGATTTACCAATCAGAAAACCATCTTGAAATGTGACATCGAAGTTAGAGACAAATTCGATAGATAGTCCATTCCTTTGACCGACCTCGAAGACCAATGGATGTTTGCAACATTCCAACAAATCAGATTGTCGGAACTGGTTCACAGAACATGGTCGTGTGGTAACTCAGGAATCTCGAGGCAAACATTGACTTCTCTCAACTCTTATAGGCAGGTTGTTTAAAATGCGGAATTTGCAAAATATCTAAATGACTTTTTTAACCAATGAACTCACGGCTAGCATATGATTGGGCGAACTCGAAGACGTAATCTTGTCGGCAGTAAGGTCACATTTGGTGATTTTGAGTTGCAGAACCCCTGACATAACCCCTTAGCCAATTTTAGTTAAAACCGGCGAAGTATGTCATGTTTGTTTAAACGAATGTGGCTGTCGCTATGGTAACGCATGACGTTTATTAAATCGATATCTCTGATGCAAGTCTATAAATTTGTTTAAACTGGCGAGTCCTTGGACCTGATCGAAAATCGATCAAATTAGGTAATTGAAAATTAGCACAAAGAAGGTGACTGCAAAATAAAAGATAGGCGTTTACTCATACACACGCACAAGTTAATTGGATGTCGCCATGTCAACATATTAGAACGCCGCCTGTGTCGACTCTAAAAACGCCTTTTCCCACAATCAACGCGACTAGTCGTGAGAACAGGCTGAAGTAGAACAGCCCGAGGGATTCTTGAGTGAAAAAGTCTTCGTTGTTTGTCGTCTGCAGATTTGCGATGCATTAGCAGCCACTAAATCTGCCAATTTTGCCGGTTCAAGCAGTGGTGCAAGTTACATTTTATAGTTTTTCTTGAAGGTCAACATGAGTCATCGTAGTTGGTGATGCACACTGCCGATTTCGTCTTGATTGGGGAGATTTTGGACAATGTGAGAACACCACGTGTGTTCTGGCAATTTTATGATTCATTTCAAACATTCGGCTGGTTCCGAATCATTTTTAGCGCCGCTCATCCACTCAAACACCGCGCTGATAGCAACGCCAATATTGATCACTAGTTCATTTAAACAACTGCAGAGTGAAATAAACATTTGGTTTATAAAAGGGAAGATTTCAGCTTGGAATGACAAAGTAAGTAACTGGGATTTTTGGAGATATAGTCCCTAAAAACGAATAATTTGTTTGAATTCTACAAAAATTGCACACGACAAGTATGTGAATGTAAAATGAGACCCAGGTTCGTGTCATTTGGTGCTTGAGATGAACACAATCAAATCCTTTTGGGAAATCCACTCACATCTAATTACGTTCATCCCCACGTTTTCAGTTTTTTTTGAAAGCAATTATCTCATCAATAAAATATTGATTTGCAGTGTATCTTACGGTCTTCTCTCCGTACTACTTCTCACTTAAATCTGCATTTTGAATTTTTCAAATAAGCGCCATTTTAGTGAGACAAATTTAAACAAAGTTCAATGCAAGCAGGATTTCACGGCGGTGTCTTACTTGGTGATCCGTAAATTCCACGTTGGTTTCGAAGGATTCGGGCAACAAGTTTAAGTTCGTTGCCGACCCATTCGTAGGTGGAAGCCCAAGTCTCTGAAATTCCAATCTTGGCTTGGCTGATACACAGTCGACTTGGTAGATAGGCTTCCACAAGCGGAGGCTGTCTTTGTAGGAGAAAATTCGGGTCGTGGAGGAGTTGGTCGATGCGGATCGTGACCTTGGTGTTCCCGCCAGCGTCTTCTGTGAGCGCAGTAACAGTTCCGACGAATGTTGAGGCCCGCGGGGCGACTGTGTCGACAACGCATCGCGATTCCAACGAGGCGTCAGTGGCGGCCAGACTCAAGACAGTGTAGACAAGGAGACAGACAATCCAGTGACGCATCTTAGCCTAGGTCATTCAGGCATCTGCCGGCGGATTACCACTTGCTCTGCGGTCTGCTATCTGTGCTTTTCAGTTGTGTGCCTCCGCGCGATCTGATTGGCTCCCGTCTACGTAATCGCTTGTGTGATTTGAGTTCACCTACAGTGCGCGGGAACTGGTAATCCGAGAGCGCGGGAATTCAAGTGCACTGTGTGCTGTTAGTGGGAGGTGATATTGCTTCACTCGACAGAAGATGTGTGCACGACGCGAGTGTGTGTGTGTGTGCGATTCTGTCCCCAACCACGAAAGGTCGCTACACTTTTTTTCATAAAATCCCGGAAGAAAAAACGTGGACTATCGTGTACACCTGGACCGGGTTTAAAAATAAACAAGTGCACGAAATGAATTGGCATTAGTCAATTTTTTTCTGCTGTTGTTTTAACCGAGTGCAGTTTGGGTTTCTTAAATTAGGCGCAAAATAATCGATTTTTTTCAGGCAAAATGTAAGGACCCACAGAAAACGTTTTTTTCCTGTACATCGTCGTATCAGATGTAATCAACACCAATTATTGTGCACGCCCAAGGTAAATTATTCAATTCACCAATGCTGATTGGTTAGAAATGCGAATTTAATAATAACAGATCAAATGATGCACTTAATTTTACCAAAATATATAGGTTTTGAGGTCAATCAGCAGCACTGTCTATTCAAATAAGCACCTATTCGCGATAGCCACAAGGTTGCGTGAATTTTATTGGTTGGCGACAAAAATAACATGATTTTATTTGAAGTTAATAATTAAACAGACGTGGCTGCAATTCAAATTAAAGCTGTCAGATAAAACTGCGAAAAACAGAAATCATCATTTTAAAAAAAATCGCACATTAACATCTGCAAAGAATATTTTTAATTTTAATTGAGTTTATCGAGGTCTTTTTTGTGGAAAATGAAAATTAATTAGGAAATCAATTCAAACGCATACATTATCTAGCTTCAAGAAGCAAAAATGTGCCAGTAAAACAACCTTGGTCAATGCCCAATCAAAAAGCCGCAAATTTTAATACCACGAGGCTGGAGTTTTATCCTTACTTCAGATCAACAATCAAGTTTGGAAATGTCTGTCTACTTACACTTTTAAGTAGTCGTTTATGCACCAACATTGCACTTGACTTGATTTAATTGATCTCAAACATAGGGGAATTTAGCCAACTTGCCACACAGGCAGAAATGTGGTACAGAGAAAACCGCCAATTACAAACTATTGTGGAACAATTTCACGACTAGATATAATAACCAACCAGAAAATTCCTGCTTTTTTATATTTAGTAAATTTCTGGTATTTTATGGCGAAAATATGACCTAATTTTCGGATTAACAGAGTTTTGTGGTTGGTTATTTCAAAATTACCTTAAAACTTGCAGTATTAGTCAAAGTGGGGGAAGCTTTGTGCTAACATTTTGCGTGTAGCGACCACGCCTAGTAATTATAACCACTCATGTCGAAACCGTCACACCCATGTGGGGATAAACCGTTTTCGAAAACTTTTGACTCACTCAAAATACTCAGAGGCTGGCGGTAAGGCTGTTGATCACGACATGCTTGCGAATTTGTTTTTTTTTGTTAAATGATAACTTTTTGTGGCATTCAAAAGTGTAACCGTTTGGCTTGTAGAAATCCAACCAGAGCAAATGAGTTATAGTAAGGAAGACAATTCTGTGAGTACTTTTTGATTGCGTGCATTTTAATGTTTTTTTTTTAAATTTAAAAAAAAAAGAAACAAGAGACTAGCTTGTCTGCGACTTGCGTTGACCAATTTTTGCGAATTCATTCGTTTCTAAACCGTAAATTTAAAATAACCGCTAAAAATCTTTGTTTAGTAAGTTAATTTAATCATCAACACATTTCCTGTTCCCCCTTCGAATGAAATCGATTTTTAATTGACAGAAGCTCCGTCACCCTCGTTGCCTTATTTAAAATGTCCGGCCAATTCAAATCTGTGACAGCTTTTATAAGCTCATTTAAACAATTAAGGAATTCAGTGATTCAAATTTCGTATATCTGAAATTTCGTTTCGATCTCAGAAACGAAAATTGCTTTTTAATTCGGTGAACAGGCGAGGGACATTGGCTGGCACTTAATTAATTTTGCCTAACAGATTTCCACGTAAATCAACAGATTTTTCGGCAGTTTACGGTCTAAAAATATCTTCGATTCTAGTTGTCGTGGCCACAAGCGCCAACCAATCAAGATTTTCGCTGCTGGCTGCTGTTAACCAATCAGACAGGCCGGAACCCTGGTCTGCATAATCTAGTCAATCCGCTATACCCGATTGGTTGGGAGGCCACACCACACAATGTGCAGCCACGCTATTATGCGTGAGGCAAACTGTAAGCAGGACCACCTTGTGGGGAATGTGCGCACAATTAAACGTATCGGCGGTTAACATAATTGGCTAAACCATTCGCCCAATCAGATCATGCCTGGCGTGGGGGAATGTTGCATGACTAGGCCAGTTCGATTAACATTGGAAAACAAACTAATGCTGCGCCCATAGCTACAGATTGAAATGGGCATCACGGGTTTTGATTGGTCAGGTACAAATTCAATGCCACTGGACTGATCAGAATGCTGGTTAAGTTCTAGTGATGGTTTCTCATATTTTGCGTGGTATCTGCAATGCCGTGGTCACCGAGATGAAACAAAACCTACTTTGACTACCATTTTAAGGCTATTTTTGGTTTATTTTTCAATTTTTATGGCCGAAAATGAACACCTGGGGAGCTAACTTTCTCAATGCTTGATCGTCAAGCTCACAGTCTTTGATAGTTGGCCCAAACGACTACAAAAGTAGGGAAAATAGCATATTTGTACTTCGATGGAAACATTTATTATTTCTAGAAATAATTCTAGCGAAATGAGATGGGGGCGAAAGGACATGACGTGTGCTCTGGCGCTGATAACCCCCACTGTGAGGAGTTATCGCGCACGCGCGCGCTCTTTAAAATTCAGCCGGAAGGAGCCGATGCAGCAGCAGACACAGAGGCGATGTACTCACGAAAGAAGATTAAGATTGCAAGAGTAGCAGGAGGTAATAAAAATGACGATAATGGTTTGTGTGAGAAGAGTAGGCCATGGGTGGTTTGTAGTAGCATCGTTTTGGTGACGATGATGTTGGCCAATGCAAAGGCTTCCCTTAGAAGCACTTGCGGTGAACGATGCCCGGCCCAGACTCGTCGTACTCCTGCTTGGAGATCCACATCTGCTGGAAGGTGGAGAGCGAAGCCAAGATGGAGCCACCGATCCAGACGGAGTACTTACGCTCAGGTGGCGCGACGATCTTGATCTTCATGGTGCTTGGCGCGAGCGACGTGATCTCCTTCTGCATGCGATCAGCGATACCAGGGTACATGGTGGTGCCACCGGAGAGGACGGTGTTGGCGTAGAGGTCCTTACGGATGTCGACGTCGCACTTCATGATAGCGTTGAAGGTGGACTCGTGGATGCCGGCAGATTCCATACCCAGGAAGCTGGGCTGGAAGAGAGACTCGGGACAACGGAAACGCTCGTTGCCGATGGTGATGACTTGACCGTCGGGAAGTTCGTAGGACTTCTCGAGGGAGGAGCTGGAGGCGGCGGTGGCCATCTCCTGCTCGAAGTCAAGAGCGACGTAGCAGAGCTTCTCCTTGATGTCACGCACGATTTCACGCTCAGCGGTGGTGGTGAAGGAGTAGCCACGCTCGGTGAGGATCTTCATGAGGTAGTCGGTGAGATCACGACCGGCCAAGTCGAGACGCAAGATGGCGTGAGGCAGAGCGTAACCCTCGTAGATGGGGACACTGTGGGTGACGCCATCACCAGAGTCGAGGACGATACCGGTGGTACGACCAGACGCGTACAGCGACAGGACAGCCTGGATGCCGACGTACATCGCCGGGGTGTTGAAGGTCTCGAACATGATCTGGGTCATCTTCTCACGGTTAGCCTTGGGGTTCAGCGGAGCCTCGGTTAGAAGGACTGGATGCTCCTCCGGAGCGACACGAAGTTCGTTGTAGAAGGTGTGGTGCCAGATCTTCTCCATGTCGTCCCAGTTCGTGACGATGCCGTGCTCAATCGGGTACTTCAGGGTCAGGATACCACGTTTTGACTGGGCCTCGTCGCCCACATAGCTGTCCTTCTGTCCCATACCAACCATGACACCCTTGAAGAAACAAAAAATTCAGATTGAATTAACTCCGTCACCAGATGTTTAAATCTTCATTAGACGTTGTTTTAGGATCATTTTTAAATTAACCAACCACGGAAGGAATTCTACAACCTTCGCGGTTAGTGGCTATTTGCCAAAACACTGCAGTTTCGCAAGAATAGCGGCATTGAGGCGAACTGCATTGGAAAAGGTAGACTCAGTTGTGGGGAACTCCCGTTAGCAGTAACGTCGTGTTAAATTAGATTTTTTAGAAAAAAATAAGGTGGATTTGCTTACCTGGTGACGTGGGCGACCAACAATTGAGGGGAAGACAGCACGTGGAGCGTCGTCACCAGCAAAACCGGCCTTGCACATGCCGGAGCCATTGTCCACAACCAAAGCCTGAACCTCTTCGTCTGTCATGTCTAATTAGTGGTAAATGAGCGCGCTAAGAACACCAAAGTAGTGTGCTGAACCAAACGCCTTCCCATCGAGTGCCTTTTATACCCCTCCAATGGGCATATATGGTCTTGCGCGTTGATTGGCTGGTGTGTGTGCAGTTGCACACCAGTCGCTCGCTCTGTGATTGGTTGGCTTTGCTTCTTATGGCCACAGACACGCTTGTTGTAGACACTGGCCAAATATGGCTACTGTCAAGACGGGCAAGGTGGGCATCTTTATTGATTTAAGCGGCACACAACGCGGGAGCGTGTGCGAGTGTGTGTGCGTGCGTAACAACAAGAATCCCCACTCCAATCCCCTGTATCGATTTACAGATAGTAACAGGGTGTTGTTTAAACCTTCTGAGAAATCTGACAACATACAAAAAATGCTTCAAAATGCCTTTTTAAGTCTTACCAGGTTAAATTGGCGTTAAGTCGCAAACTGCAGAAATGTTTGCCCATTTACAAATGATGTTGACGATGCCGGTAGTGATTGAACCAGGTTTCTGGAAATGTAGTAATCTAGATAAATCAGCCAATAAGACGGTAACACCGCAATTTAGGCTTTAATGTCGAAAGTTATTTTAATCAAATAATGAAAAATGCGATGTTTTGGTCACAAATATCAAATCACTTAACTCTCAGAGCGAATATTTACGTAGTTTTTTTCAAGTTTGGAAGTTGACAACTGCAGTACTGGGGCTTTTCCAAAAAAAGGAAAAGTTGTGCTGTAAAAATAGATGTATTTTTTACTCGGTTTAGGCGACGCAGGGCGTAGACGAGAGAATACCCAATCACCACCTACAGCGCGGTATTCAGGCCTACTGTGAGTCGCCTTTTTTTAGCTAGAATGCGTTTGTAGCGGACACGACAGTGTCTCATATCGATCGCTTATTCACAGCATGTGGTTCCGAACCACGCCGGGGCCACGAAATCAACCCTGGCCCGATTACGCTTCCCTGATACTAGCGATGAAGAAAAAGATCGGAGAGGACGTGGACACAGTCGTTTACTGCCGAGCTCAACCACACTAGTGTCGTGTGTGGGGTTTGTGCGTGTGTTTTTATACCTCGGATGTGTGAGTCATACATGCGCTAACATCGGGACCTAGGTGTGAGGAAAATCCAAAATAAATATCAGTGTGAATGAGTGGAGGTAGTTGAGGATCCGCGCGGCTGGCGACATGCTGCAAAAAGGGGGGACCTTGTGTCCGAGGCCGAAGTGATCGGACCAACGACAATAATCCAAATCCAGATCATGTTCGAGTCCTGATTTCCGGTCAAAGGTCAACTCTCATGAGCTAACGGCGTATCGCACACACATCTGACCTAGTCTTAAACATCACAAGCAGATTTCAGAAGATAATTCACAAACTGCGTGCTTCTCTCGCGTTTTACGGAGATTCAACGCGCTACATTGAAAAAAAAACTTACCTATTTTACGATTTATACACGTTGCCATGTCAGTTTAATCTGCTTAACCACGGATGTTTCACGATTGTAGCAAGCAGCAGCCTTGCGAGGAGCATCAGCGCATCACAACGCCGCAATTCTGGCTTCCTGCGCCCACCCCCAACTGGGTAAGTTGAAAAAAAATATTTCGTCAGATGATCGATCAGTAGACTACCCCCTGTTACCTCTGTCTAGACACCTCGCTCTCACAGCCGCCATGGAGTCACGATTGAGGGATCTAAGGAAGAGTTTCTCCCAACGAACCAGTACTGTTCTTCAGCGGGAATTGGTTCCAAATGCGGAGGAGGAATTAGGCGGCAGTGGTGAAGAAGGCGATGAAACGGATGGCGGTGTAACTGACAGAGGTTTGTTGACATTTTCCTTTTGTAAAGTGCTGCTTAAATATAGTGAGTAGACGTTTTGTTTTGAACTAACCATACATTGGACAAATACCGTTGGGAGTGCCGGCATAAGTTAACTGTGCAAGTTGAATGGGGAGTAACGAAAATCACACAATTCGCCGAGAATCTTACCCAGTTTAACCGGCGCAAACAAAGGTAGAAATCTAAGATTTGGGCCTTCAATGACACACTACTTAATACTTAAAAGTAGCAATAAAAATTAAAGCGATTTTATTCATGTAGCGAGCACAGCACCGAGCGAGGCGCTGACAGGCGAACTCGACCTAGGAGAGGGTGAAAGCGGTGTAAAATTCACACTCTGGCACCAACCCCCGCGATGTCTGCACGTTCGACGTCCACCTTGCATGATTCCAGCCAGTCCAGACAAGTTGCCCTTCCTGAAGGCCGAAGATACCAGAACCTTCTACGTTGTGATCGATGATGGCGGCGACTTGGCCCAAAAGCAGCCAGATGATGGTGGGATTTGTTTGATATCACAAAAAACCTTCTACTTAATTGAATATAAGTAGACTTTCTTGTGTGAAAAACCTAAATAGTGTGCTGTGTCTATTTGCTGTCATGATTGAGGCTGATGTATTTCGTGCATTCGAGAGTGTCATGCCACTGATTAGTTTCTCAGTATGTGTAATATTTACAGTGTTAAACTTACCTTTTTCCAGTTGAAATCCTCGGAGTGCAAGATGATGTTCCAATAACTTGGGTTTTTCGACTTCCACCGTGGCTGCCTACGCCGACCGCCTTTTTCACAGCCACAGTGGAACCGAATTGTGAGGCACATTTTCGACATAATTAACGCTACTAATTGGAAAACAGTAGTAACGTTTTGCAACCTTGTAGGTACGTTCCACATCATCTGGCTGTTCATTGTGCTGCTGGCGTTAATTTATAATGCCATCGCGATTCCTCTGCGTGAAGCTTTCGACATTTACGACCGGCCTGAGCACATGACCTTCTGGCTGACTTGCGACAGCGTCGCTGACGCGATCTACTTGGCTGATCTGCTCATTGTGAAGCCCCGAGTGCAGTTCACTGAAAACGGCATCGTGATGGTGATTTCTGCGGCCAATTTCAATTGGTTGAAAAATTGGTGTTTTAATCAAATTAATGCCCCATTTGATTTTAGACAGAACTGCAGAAGTGCGCAAAGAATTACGTGAGGCATTTGAAATTCAAGGTAATCGATAATGGTGTTGATGATAAATCGACACACAGCTTGATGGCCCCGGAATCAAACTGCACTTTTTCAAACCTTGAGGAAATTTTGTCGCCCAGTACCATCATTTTCCATTTTAGCTGGACGTCCTATCATTGATTCCGTTAGATCTCTTCAGTTTGATCCACTGGAGACTGAAAGCACGTTACAGGATTCTGCGTCTCTTAAAGGTTGAGTTCTTTTCACACTAAACTAACATTTTGAATCGCGAAGCAAAAAATAACGCTCAAATATCAACAAATTTAAATTGTACTCAAGTTTCGGTTTCATGCAGCCCTAGCAAATAGAAAACCGTCCTTGTGTAGCGTCCTTCGAAGGGATTGGTGGTTCTGCCCAGCCAATCAAGATCGATTCGATTACTAATCAATTGAAACATCTCGTAGAAGACGTTTGTAGACTTTTTTTATCTTAAACTGAAGTAAATTTTTGCTTTTTTAATACTTAGCTTCCGATTTTAATTGAATTTTTCGACCGAACGGACCAACGAGTGAAATCCGGTTATGCTGTTCGTTTGGCGAAAATTCTCGTCTACATGATCTACGTAATCCACGTGGAAAGCTGCGGCTATTACGCCTTTAACCGGTTTCACGGCCTGAATGCCACGGATTGGTCGATCGGCAACCAACACAATAATCCGTAAGCACACTTGTACTAATTGATTGAAACGCTGTCAAGGTCGTAACCAGTTGCTTTACTGCACCAATGTGAAGGTAGCCACAATCGTCAACACGCACAAATTTTGTAGACTGGTTTTCAATTCTGTTTGGTTGCTAAGTCTAGGTCAACGCAATTCCAAATTATACAAAATAAACAGAGAGCTATTTTTGATTGGTAACTAATGAACAGTTTTATTGTTTCAGGTATATTTATTCGTTCTATGTGGCGACGAAAATGGCAACTTCCATTGGGAACCTGGCACACGCAACAAATCCACCTGAGTTCATCTTCATGACAGTCTATTGGCTCACGGGTGTCTACGTGTCGGCAATTTTGATTGGTCAGGTAGTCAAATTTGATTAACCGCCCAAGATATGTGGTTCTCCGTCAATTCAAGACGCCGGTGTACCTAACTAGACTTGTTTATTCTCACTAAGGTAACTGATATCTTGGATAGTCAAAGAGCCGAGAGGGAGGCGTACAGGCAGCTGATGGATGCCACCATCACCTACCTAAAACGCATTCGAGCCCCAGAAAAGGACATCGATAAAGTGCGAACCTGGTTCAACTATAATTGGGATCAGCAGAAGACCTTGGGTGAGTCACCGCTTCATATTTTACCCTCTAGACGAGAACATGCTAATCGACGCGCTGCCGCTCAAGCTGAAGACCGACATGCTAATCGATGTGCACTACAAGACGCTGAGTAAGGTATCGCTGTTCAAGGTGAATTTGTTGCACACCTAACACGGGCTTGTAGGACTGCGAGAGAACGATGATTTTCGACCTGATCTGTAAGCTGAAACCGGTCTTGTTTCTGCCGGGCGCATTCATCTGCGAGAAGGTAAGTCCGCGCGCGTCTTTTGTCAAAAGTGACTGCAATTTTTCCCGCTTTATAGGGTGAGGTTGGACTGGAGATGTACATCGTGAAACAGGGCTTCGTGGAGGTTGTGGGGGGGCCAGATCTATCGACTGTCTTCGTGACCTTGAAGGAGGGGAGTGTCTTCGGTGAAATAAGGTGAGTGACTTAACACGCACGCTAATTGGTCCGCATTAGTCTCCTGGCGATACAGGGGAAGAACAGACGAACAGCGAACGTTCGATCAAAGGGCTACTCAACGCTCTTCCGACTCACCAAATCTGATTTCGAGGAGGCCATGAAGAACTACCCAGTGGCGTACAGGAAGCTCAAAAGAAAGGCCCAGTAAGTGTGACCTTGGGACGGACCAATGAGAAGCGAATGTGAGAAACGTATTTTTATTCGTTCAGGAAAATGCTGCAAAATGACAAACAAAAAGCCGAAGAGGCGGCAAAATCGAAAGAAGAAGGGAAGGCTGAAAAGAGGGAAAAAATAAGTGAGAGGATCGGAAGTCTTGAGATCATCCCGGTCGAACGTCGACTCTCGAGGATGTCGATGGTGGTAGACGAGGTATGACGATCGGTTCGATATGAATTTCGGAAACTAATTACTAATTTTTTTAATATTTTCATAAAGGTAATGGAACGTCAGAGAGGCTGCAAGCGACAAGATCTGGCAAATGTGACTTCATCGTCGAAGGTGAGTACTTCAAGATTGCGAAACTTCAACCAAGAAATTGCCGATACTACTGAATTACGATTCCAAATTTCACGAGAAAGCTAAAAATCTCTCTTATGACCAATTGTGTCAAAACGACAACAAAAAGTACACAAGGAGGGTGTTCGACCAATAAGGAAACAGAACACGAAAAAACCGGCCAATAACAACCTGACCTTTCCACGATTGGTCAGTAGGGCCAGTTGGTGTGATGAGTTTTACACTGTCGCGTCTTTTTTACAGAGCACAACTGAGGAAACCTCAGACACGACAGATGGCGTCGCCGACTTATTCGACGAATGCGTTGATAACTCCAGCGCTGACGAGGAATCCAAGTGATCCGCGAATCAACCCACTTCAGCTGACAATAACCCACTTATCATGACAAAAAAACTATTTGTGCTGAAGAGTTTGGTAAAAAAGAAAACAATTTGACATACGGTGTGATTTGATTAATCGATAATTAATGAAAAAATCATTCAATAAACCTTCGATCAAGCAGGCTTTCACAAATTTCATGTTGATGCCCCGAGCAAATAAATTAACAATGAACAAAAATCGATGGTTTTATTCATGTAGCCGAATGAAAAGATCACCTAAATCGATTTAAGATGAATTTAAATTGATTTTCCATCTGACCACACCAATTAACGCTACTCTGTTACACAACGAAAGCAACATTAAAGGCGGCGTAACAACTTCGCTTAGTTAAGAAGCGAATTGCATTCAAAAGGCTTTATTTTCGGAATAAAAAAAACGTTTTTAGCTCACATGTGCCGCTAGGACTTGAGTTGTAAAAATTTTTCGTCGATTGAAGAGATTAATGATTCAAACGCGTTTATGACAGGCAATCCACTGTGGATACAGGAATTATCTGAAACGGAAAAAAAGGCTTAGAAAGTACTAGATACCAGTAACGAAGGCTAAATTTATACAAGGTCAAGTTGGTTTTAAGTGAGCGCGTACGACTACCCAAATTCTACTGAATCGGCGATAATTTGTTCTTAGTTAGACGGCGAAATCTGCGGTTTCCGACCCATCTCACAGAGTGACATTATAATAGACGCAAGTCAGCGACGATGACAAATGCTTTGAATCATGACGACAAGTAAGAAGGCGACAGACAGACAGACATACCTGGTTGATTAGACGCCGCTTCTTCGAAGGGGCACCGTCCCTCATCGAGGCATCGAGTGAGCCGAGGATCGAACGGAATACGGCCGATAACTTCGCTGCCTTGCAAGGAATCAGCTCCACCCGTCGTTTTAGGGAAGAGGTTACTCGAGACACCGCATTTGGGGCAGTCGAATGAGCTCATGTTCTCTACAACCCCGAGAATCGGTAAGCCAATCTTCTGGCAAAAGTTTATTTCCTGTGAATTAGAAAGCTCAGTCGGAATCACAAAATCGAACACAGACTAGGCGAGGAGCAGGCTGACGACTTCGAAACGAACCTTTCTAACATCGCTTAGAGCTAATTCTTGCGGAGTTGTGACAATCAAGGCGGCAGTTGGGCAACCAGCCGCTCTGACGTAAGGCACAGCCGATAAGTGCTCATCTGATGTGCCCGGTGGGGTGTCAATAATCAAGTAATCGAGAGGAGGCGCGTCTGGATCGTCGTCAGTCCACGCAACTTTAAGGAGAAGATCACGAATGAAGGCATTTTTTCTCGGTCCTCGCCATATAATCGCTTGGTCGGGCGTAGTCAAAAAGCCGAGCGACATTAAAGCCAAGTTGTCGGTCACGAAAACTGGTGACCACCCTGTGGCGCTTTGATGTACCTAAAAGAGGAGGTAAACTAATTTACCCATTGAGATGATGATTCGGAAAAAAACAGGCTAAGAATGGCACACCTCAGCATCCAAACAGCCCATAAAGCAAGGCACGGATGGGCCACACAGATCTAAATCCAAAAGTCCAACTTGTTCAGAACAGTTGTTGCGTTGGGAGAGTGCTCGGGCCAGGCAAACGGACACGGAACTCTTTCCAACACCGCCTTTGCCTGAGAGCACGAAAAGGCAGCGTTTAACACGACCAAGACGTCTGCGCAGTTCAGCGACGACTTCAGGTTCGCGTTGTTCTAGTGGCAAATTGGCAACACCACTAGCGCACAAGGCCTGGTTTGGGCAGCCAGCGCATGAACTTGCACTGCCAGCAGTTGCGCTCTTAGGTCCGGGGCAGTTTGCTGGCGCATTGTCTGGTGGCAGATCCCCTGACGCATGTACCTATGAAAAAAAGGGAAATTTAAGTTAAATTTCATAAATAATAATATGGTTTCTAAAAAATGAATACTATAATACATTTGTGGTGCCGAACAAGGGCGCCGACATATTCGATGACACCAAGCACGGCTGCGATTGAATGACCTTAATTGAATTTTAGCAGCCAACCAGAGATAAGATTTGATAAAGTGCGAAGAGTAAACTTATATATATGGCGCCTAAGAAAAGGTTCGGTCATTTTGTTGGACCTACAAACTTTGGTCCTCTGTACATTTTATCCCTTTCAAAAGGTCAGGTAATCTATATCTGTCAGGCGCAATTTTTTTCAAAAACTAAACCAACTACAAATGCGTGTGGAAACCATTGAATAATAGGATAAAATTAGGCCATTGAAATTATACTCATTTAATGAAAAAGTCTTGAGGATAAGAAGAAAAACATTTGTCCATCTAGATCAGCTTAGGTTCATGTCAGAGTCACACAGTGGCCGTGGTTTGTCACAATAATATAGAGCGAAAAAGAGCCAGTTTTGCGAGTAGATACTTGTTGCCTATGTCTAAAGTAAAGTTTAGTAAAATTCATTCTGAAAATATGCGCAAGCAGAAAATTTATTCCTTAATTTCAAATTATTATTTTTTTAAGCATAGACTAACTAATGTCAAAGCAGATAGATCGAATCAAACTATTAGCATTGACGTGAAACGTTTACCACATGATGCGTATATTAGCTTGCAGGCATTGTGCGTGCAATGCGTAATGGGATTACTAAAGTTTTTATGAAAATGCACAACTATAAGCACTTAGTTTCGGAAAACGGCAAACGTTATGATTTTGAACAAAATTATGGCACTTTTTGTGCTTTGCATTGCATAATTCATCCATTTTATTAAAGGGCTAATCCTAATAGAGTTTAGACTAAATAACAATCGTTAAATGCGCTTTTTTTGCATTTTAGAGATTTTAGATTATAGTCTTTTGCCTCGGTTAGGAATAATGCGCACGTATTTTGTATGCATCTAGCATCTTCGAAAAATACAAATGAAAAAACATGTTTTCAGTAATTATAGAGAAAAAAAGTAGTGGGTATTTTTAATGCAATGAATGCTGATTAATTCAAATTGTTGAAATGCATTGTGAATTGAGTTCTCAAGGTCGTCATTTGAGAACTTAGGAATGGCGGCGTTTGGAAAGTTCATCGACGCAGCGAGCACTGCCATTAATAGAGCAAGTCAGGTATTAACACAGTTGTTATAATTTTTAAGTTTACAAATGAAATACGTGGAACTGCGGCGAAGTCAAGCTATCCCGATGACTTAGTTCGAGATTTCGATCTTGCGGATAGATTGAAGAAAGTGTGTGACAAATTGCAATCTGGTGTTACAGCGTGGTTGAACCCAAATCCGGGTAATTGTTTTTTAAGACGTTTTATAGTTTTAAAAATAGGCATTGGTTTATGGGCACAATCTTTTCTTATGAATTTTGAGTAAAAGCTACTAGAATTGCATGCCAATACTGCACGGACTTAATGTTTACCTCACTATTAGCGCACATATAATGATTTTTACTAATGTTTTAGTATGTGATTATATGTACGTCTGTTTGCAACATACGTAAGACTCGCCATTTGCTCCCAATATTCTGCTTTGCGTCAGTGATATAGGTAGATTTAAATTACGTGCTAATTGACCAACTGACCCATTATTTGTGGAACCTGCATTTGTCCTAACTTTAACCATCATAGATATATTTTTATTTGCCTTGTTATAGCTGACCGTGTACAAGATAAGGTTTTGGAGAAATTTGACGCGAAAAAGCAGCCAAAACTGACGTCCTCGGAACTCCTGGGCAAACTTGAACAGGATCTTGCAACCGAGATGACACAATGCGAACTTGGTGAATTCCACAATTTTGTGCTAAAATTTTGTTATAATACTTCCTTTTTTCATCCTAACATTACTTTATAGGGGACAAACTTGGTTTGGTGCTTTCACAATACGGCCAGACGCACATGGACATCGGTGTTGCCGAGCGCAATCTTATTACCGATGTTCAAAAAAGCTTACTTGTAACAGTAAAGCACTACCTTGACACTGTGTGGCCAAGTATCAATGTAAGTAAAGGCATTTAACTGCATACGCTTTGTTCCATGATCTCGGACACTGAGTTTAAGCAAACTGCCTTTTTTAGACTCAGCGAAGGAATCTTGAGTTTGCTCGATTGGATTTTGATTCGGCAAAACAAAAGAAGGAAGCTTGTACATCCGAAGACAAAATTAGACCCGTAAGTTTGTTTTATTTTTCAGATTTTTGCATTCTCTCAACATTTACGTGTTTAATATTTTTTTGTAAAGTTGACCGCTGCCTTTGAAGCTGCCCAGTTGAAGTTCAACGAGCAGATTGCTGCCGCCAGAGCCACAACTTCACAGCTCAAAAATGTTGAGGTTAGTTTAGCTTGCTTTCCCCAAATAAAAGTCATTCAAACAGAGTCGACAAAACCGACAATATGCCATCTTAATACACCTGTTTTGCCATCAGATGTCTGTAGTTATGAAGCATGCGTCAGAGGGTTGATCGGTGAATTGCGTAGACGCCTTTTTAGGCCACATTGTAGCCGTGTTTGTCCAGTTTACAGAACTGCCAAAAAAATGCAAACACTTGTCATCTTGTTTAAGGAAACCCTCCGTGAAGATCTCAAGGCGATGGCCGCGGCTCAAATGCGCTACTTCAACGCCTGCCAGGAGCAGCTGCGTCAATTGACAAGCAAGTTGGAAAGCGCTGGGCTTGGTGCTTAAGCGGTGCGTTTTCTGACTCTTTAGATGTGCAAAAGCACGGAATCCAGGGAACATTCAGTGACGTGTATATTTTGGCTATTTCAACGCCCACAAAGTATCGTTCGAGTTTGCTAATAACGTTCCAAAGCAAAAAAGAAAATCGTTTTTACATGATTACTCGGGCTAATTAGGCATCTGATCCGATTTTAGTCTGATTACTGGTCATTCGAATTCCTCTGTCCGCTTATTCGTCATCTGTTTAATCACTCCTGCCAAATATGCTTTGAGTCGCAGTCAGTTTGAGCTCTGCATTTCGAATTCTAATCTTGTAAATTCATGTACGATTGATTCGTCGTGGGATCTGTTGCATATCCCAGACTTAAATTAAATTTTAGTGTGCTTTTCGTCAATTAAAAGGACGAGCTGGGACGAAGTCTTTGTAGGAAACTCGGCGGCCCTCGAATCAGTAAATACGGGGTTATCTTGCTGGTTAATCTTAACTTGACTTGGCATTAAATGATATTTTGACCAGTCTACAAGGAATCAGTTGCACATTTGTCTGCTTTGTGCCTTGTAGATGAATTCGCCTTACTGCGCACTTTCTCACTACTTATGCATATCAACCAACGCGTTGCCTTCACCTTCGTTATCTGCTCTTTCTTGTTTGTACCTTACAATTTTGTCCTGTTTTGTTTAAAGAAGAAGAAAAAGAACACAATTATCTCACGCTACGCTGCTTCTTCTCTGACTTGGTAAAAATTCGGGTGATGCGATAACCACAAGGCATCAAATGACGCGCTTTTATTCACGCTTTTTATTCTCCTATCGTAGCATCGCCGCCTCCACTGGCAGAACAGTTTGGTAAAGTGTGCAAGGTGTGTGGGTGAAATGCGTCATTTAGGGTGACAGACAACGCCAGATTTTTTTGTTAGAAATCGATTTCTAAGTAGGCTTTCCGATTGCGTAATGCCAGCATAGACCTAGAGCCAATAGTGAGTACCGACTTCTGTTAACCAATCAGGGGCAAGCAAAAGAGGCGGAAAGTTCAGCTCGATTGATTTGAACACTTTAAATGACTCGCGGTCTAGTGGAGCTCCTTCACTCTCCAAATCGATTATTGATGCAGTTTGCATTCCGACAGCCGAGTGCATTGCAGCACGTGTATTCCAGGCATTAAGTCATATGTCAAAATTTCGACATATGAGATGCAAGCAACGACCATAAAATTGCAAATACGGAATTTTGTGCAGCTGTTTCAAACCCTCTATGTGAAAATATGCTCACATGTAAATGAGACGCGTGTTGTGCATAAAGCACCAGTCACAACCACGCGAAGTCAGCCGCGTCAAGGCCAAAGTCCATTTGCAAAATTCGATATGGGCCGTGGAAAGTGCAAAACGACTGAAATCTCTTTGCGCACCAATCAGGTGAAGGGAGATCTGGAAATTCGTTGTGTCAGTTCTTGTGCAATTAATGGTAAAAATTGGCGGTTAATGCGACATCAAAGTGCTACGTGTTTGCTGGAGTTGGATTCTGACAATGTGTTGTGTTTTGTTGAAGGAATCACTTTGGTTGTTGGTCTGGATATTGTTGCCAAGCCTGTTCCCTATCGCCATCTCCCGTGAGGACACGTCTGATCACAGTCACGTGACCACATGCTGCCTCCCTTGTCTCTCTTACCACGCATCTGCTCATTCAGATGTGCGTGCGTTTACCAGGTCACTGTAATCCCATTGGTTAGCAAGTGCAATCAATCAAATCTCACTTGTGTTAAGCTGTCAATAGCCATGGGGACCAGTGAGGGTGTTTCGTAAACACGACATGCTGATTTTGCTTTGAAAGTACATTTTGGTTCAAGTATTCGAAGCCCCTTATCGTTTACACAACTCGAGATTCACAGGTAGCAAAGAGACGTGCCTGGAATGCAATTTTTCTGGCTTGCTAAAAGTGGGAATTCAACCATTCAAATCGAGACGAATCTAAGTCAACATGTGTCATTTCACTACTGCGATTTAGGCGAAGTTGCTGGCTTTTTGCAAATCGGAAAACGTCAATCCATCTCCAAATATCCGCCAAAGCACTCAACTCTAATCTCTTTCAAATCGCGGTTAATTTGATCTAGCTACACGTTCAGATTATCGTTGTTTAAATTTTAGATATCGCGGTATAACAAATGAGTGTGTAGGAGGGTTAGCTAAGGAATACTATGCATGTGTGTGACATTTGCATTCTTGAATGATTTTTTGATCTAATTTCGCAATACAATTACTGATTGCCAGAATGACATTCCTCCAATCAACTGTTTAGTCAATCACACTTGTAAATAATCGCTCAGTGTATGGGATTTCAAGTGAAAGGCATAAAAGTACATTGTTGAAGCGTTATTAAGATTGAAAAAGTGGGTAGGTATGAACACAATAATTCTACAGTTTTGCTCAATATTCCATGAATACTTTGAGGTTAGCAGTTTTCAGCGGTTTGTTTTAATTAATCGAAGCCATCATTTCCAAAAATAAGCTAAATGAAGGTTATAGATAAAATAACGATAATTGAGCAGAAAGAATAAAAAGCAAATGATTAGCTAAATTTTGAATTAGTTAATGAAATAGGATTCCGATTTTAGCTGCATTTATTGTTTCGGTGTAGTCGGCAAGCGTATAAGCAGAAGTAACCAATCGAAGCAGAGCTATCGATCGCGGTTAGATGCGCGCGCACTCGAACGCCAGAGGCGTCGTGGCAAGGTGCACATCGTGCGTGTGATTTCTATTTATAATGAAATCGAGCTTGTTTTTTTGTTGTTTTAGGTACGAGTAAAAAATATCGATGTGAGAATTTAGCCCAAAACAAGCGGGTGTATTGTTGGACCCGCACAAACGAGAAAAACACCAGTTACCATCAGTATGAACGACAATGTATTTGCAAAATGTGCGGTCGTGAGGCCGTGCCACACACGCTGTGTGTGATAATGAGGGTTTTAAGTTAAAAATCGAGCTCACACTGCCTAAGTTTGATTTTGATGATGGATATTAAATCTGCAGTCGTTTCAGGCCCAATCAGCCAATCACGATGATCCCGTGTTAGTTCCTTGTTAAAACCAGTCGAGGCATTTTACACGGGACTAATTCAACTTCCATACTTTTTTGTTTTTGCATGCAAAGGACAACTGATTAGCTTACAAAGCGTTTCCAGCTGGCTTTTGTGTGTGGTCCACGCACATTCAAGTTATTTAGGTGGGGCGACTAAAATCACGCAATTAAGGAAGTCGCCAAATCAATGACACGCAATAAACAATTGACCAAAGATAAATATGGACTTCCTTGTGCAGTCATTATGAAATCATTTCTGCTACAGACTACCCTCATCAACAGCTTTTGATTGATGAAATTAGCAGGCGCTATAATTTGGACACTACCCAAAAAATTGTCCAATGAGGATTGTCGTCTAGGTTTAAACTCAAAATCAAATTTGGGTAGCGTAGCCATCTTTAAGAAGACAAACTGGCAAATTGATTGATACTCTCGGATAATTGAGGAACGATCAGTTCAAGGAAAAGTGTCGATTCGCTTAGGAGGAAGTATCACAGTACGCACAAAAGCAGTTCCTTTAGTTGAGATTTTTCACATAATACTAATACTTCCGCGGTTTCACGTGAACGCACAATCACATGGATTGGACAGCAATAGTCGATCTCAAACGGATTGCGTACATTATCTGTAATCAGTAAATGGATATGAGCATCTTTTTGAAGTTGGAATATTTACCACATTTTACCAAGAGCCTTGCATACAAGGACTCATATTATTCAGAGCCTTCACAGTTCAAAATTCAGAATCGGTGCTGAGAGCGTTCCAATCAACAGAAAGAGGCGAGGTGCATCAGATTTTTGTTCTCAAGGCGGTTTCGAAGCCAACTGACTGGACCCTAGACTATTTCAGAGACATCTGATTACACGGTTTTTCAACCAAATACAAAATCTAGTGCATTCGCTGTTAACTCAAGACACTAGTCTTGATCAACATGGCTAAATTCTATTCGACGTACTATCGATCAGAAAGTTGACAATCAGACACCGCCCATACGAGTCCCCGACGCTGGCTGCGCCGCTCATTACATACCGCTTCTCATACGTGTCCGTCTCTGGTTGGCTGCTTATCTTCCTCACGTGCCACTGGAACGCAAAAGAGATAGTTGATTGGTTGAAGCAGGTGTGGTCCAAAATGTCGGCGTCCTTAGACGTCGCCACACAGGATTCCACCGATGAACCCTACTGACACCCAAAGCACCAATCAGAACCTCCTAAATAAATCTGCCATCCAATTAGATGAAAGGAAATCTGAAGCCAACGCACTGACACCAATCTCCACGATTTTGACGTCAAAAAACAGTACTGCATCGGGTAAAGAAAAAGAGGGAATTTCAAATGGCGTCTCCACAATGAAAGCCAAACAAATCAATGCAATTAAGTAAACTTACATATATTTTTAAAAGAATTGAGAAGCAAAAAAGCAGCATTTTAGTAGGATAGTAGTAATTGGTGGTGGTAGTTGTGGTTGTTGTTGTGGTGTTGGGAAAAGGTAGTGCTACCGTCCATCGTGATTTTATACAAATTGGTGTGTTTGCGGGTGTGTGTGCGTGTTCGAGTGTGTTTTTTGGGGGAAGCACATGGACATGCAAGTACGCATGCAGTGGCGGAAACTTTACACGGGGCGAAGGGGGGGAGTAAGTGGTCACAAATTTCATTGGTTGACATCCGCGAGGCGAATTGTACAGCAAAAATACATGGTTCGTGCAAACGAGGAGGTTATTTATAAATATATACAACAGCCTATCGAAATAGCAGGGACAGGGGGAGTAGTCGAGCATTCAAAATCGATGTGCCTACGAATCGGGGCTGGGGGGGTGGGGTGGGTTGGGGGAGGAGCTGCCAATAGAGGGGGGATTAGAGGAGTACAGGGGAGAGCGAGACGGGCTAGCTAGACTCTTCCTCTGACGAAATTGTCTCCGCATCCGACTCCGATTCGCTACTGGAGATGTAGACGGACTAAACGAGCAAAAGAAGGCATCAGTAAGGTGGGCAGTTTGGCTGGTTTTTGCGTGGTTAGACGCAGCAACTTACACGCACTCGAGATTGCTTGGGTTTTCTGCGTTTCGTGGCGGTGCCCACGCCAGATCGGGAACCACGGGAACTTCGACCGGAGGGAACGCCGACTCCACCGCCGCCGCCGCTGCCTCCTACCCCGGTAACCGCGCCTCTTCGTCGTTGTGGCGCCGACTGGGCTAGAAGGAGACGCGAAGCACCACCGGCCTGGAAAGAGAATACAACAACAGACAGGCTAGGGAAGAGTTGATCTGCGACAGGTGAAGGGTACAATTAAAAGTGCAAGAAATTACGTCCGAATCGGCGGAATCGTCTTCTTCGTCGGACGACCGAGCGTGCGACTGAGGGACGAGAGATCGACCAGGTGCAAGTCGGATGGGAATATCTGAAAGGCGACAACGAAGGCATTAGCGTTCTACCGTGGGATAGAAGTAGGATACGAGGAGAACGCGCTTACCATCGATTTGAAGGGTGGCGTGTTTGTCGTCACCGACGAGACCCTCGACGGTGGCAGCAGCGTTCAACGAGATGTCGACGTCATCGTCCTCGGGCGGATCGATGGAGAGGATGAGTTTGCGGAACTCAACGAACTCCAAGACGAGATCACGGGCGGCCTCCTCTGTGATGGTACCTGGTGAAGGCAGAGGGAGAGGAAGAGGCCTGTTTAAAGAAAATCATGACAAACAGAGGGCACACGTGGACACACACACAACTTACTTTGGTTGGCGGTGTTGGAGGTTGAGGCACCCAGGTCGCCGCCGCCAGTTGCAATTTCCTCGATCGCCGAGCGTAGACAAAGAGTGGGGAAGAAACGCACGCCGCTCTTGCGAGTCAGCTGCTTCTCCCACAGCTTGCCAGAATCCGAGGGCGAGTACTTCTGTATTTTGCTGAAATGAACAGATGATGAAGTGGAGTAGACGAGACCAGGGGACTGAGACCAGGCTAGAAGTCGGCTCACCTATCCGTGATGCCGTAGACCTCCTTGAGGTACTGTTTGAGGTTGAGGAGGAGGAGGCAAGCGCGGCTGGCCTTGATGGTTTCCTGGATGGAAGCTAATCCGGCTGGGTCGGCGGCGAGCACACGAGCCACCATGGCATCCTCGTTCTCCTCCTCAGCTTCCAGGCGAGCCAGTGCGGGATTCACGGTCGGACCAGGTTCCGACGAACTCACCACGGCGTGCTGGTGGTGGTGGTGGGCGTGGTGTTGGACTGAAAGGTATGCGCAAAAAATGAATCGTTCAACACTATGTGATGAAGTACTCCTCCGCTTTGGTTTGGGAGCCACAAACCCACCTGGTGTTTCGGACATCTCGGCAGTGGAAGGAGACCTGAAGCCGAAGTCCGTGGAGAACGCCAGTCGGTCGTCGCCGTGCGCTGGCAATGGCATCCAGGCGGCGACGTCGACGAAGCCATTGTTAACCGTCGTCGGTTGTGGTGGTGGTGGCGGCGGCGGAGGTGCTAGAGCATCCTTCAGCTCAGGAAAGAGAGCTTCTCGCACGGCCTGGAGACGCGTGGACCCGTTCACGCTGACAAGGAGGTCAATGTGGTGAATGACGAACAGGGGCTCTGCCTGGCATTGGTAGGGGAAGAACGCGAGATTATCGGCCACGTAGACTAGCCTGCCCAGAGAGATGTTCTGAAAGGAATGAGGAGCCGGTATGATAGAGTCAACATATCAGGTGTTTGGCTTATATATTTTTTTCTCCGAATTTACAATTATTTTCACGGTGTTTTGCGGTTTTGAATGGGTCGGATGCAAGGTGACAAAACATCGAACGACAAGTCTACATTGCATACAGAACCTCCTCTCATAAAAACGCAGTTTACGACGATGGCAACTGATAAACAGTACTTTCCAAACTTTAACAAGAAAAAAAACTACTTCTAACGCGCGGGATTTAATTGGCAGGGTTCTTGATGTCGACGTTGTGTCTCATGAAACGTGCAGTTATTGGTACACACATTTCAGAAGTGGTGATTTCGGACTTAGTGACGTGGAACTGCAAGCTCTACTGGATGAAGACTCAACGCAAACTCATCAACAGCTTGCAGCTCAGTCAGGAGTCACCCAAACAGCTATGTCTAAGCGTTTGCGCCAAAAAATGGGAAAAGTTCAAAACTTGGAAGTTGAGTCCCCCCCACATGTGTTGACCGACCACTGCATTAAGACGCGCCTTCCACTGCGCTTGGACTTCTTGTGGAAAATTGTGGCTGGACGGCGCTGTGGGTAAATTCGTCAACGACTTCATTGTCTCCATGCCTACAAGCTCATTTCGCAAGGTCACAAAAAACGATGGAAAATATTTCGCCAAATTAGGACAATGTAGCCCACATCGTGACTACAGGGGGCCAGCTTGCCTGTAATTCGTCGAAGAGGTTAATCAGGCCGTTGAGGAAGGCACGTCTAAAGGTCCGGTTGGTGCGCAGCATCGAGTAGAGCTGGGAGTTGAGGGCGTTGGGCACGTCCGAGTCGACGTCTCTGGCGCCGCGAATGGCGTCGGCGACGCCGAGGGCATCGGAGCTCGACGACGCCGCTCCGCCGTCGATGCCGCTGTCGGTGTCCGCGGTGCGTGGACATCGCCGCGGTTTCTGCGGTGTCGCCTGAGATCTGGGCGTTGTGACAGCGGTGTTGGTGTCGGACGAGGCGCTGTACGCGTTAGACTCCTTCCCCTCGAGGTGGACTTTCGACGCCGCATGGAGGACGCATTGCAGGCGGTAGGCGAAGCAGACACCCTCGATTGCACGCATCTACAGGGGGGTGGCGAAGAAAGACACTTAGGAATCCCATGAACGCTGAACCGCAAAGTGAAAAGTAATGCGGACGTACATAGATGAAACCGGGGAACTTGTTTTCAATTTCTTGCAGCTGCGCCTCCGCTTTGACGCGCGTCGACACGTCCGGGTCGGTCTGCATGGCGATGAGGTAAGGCACCGTCTGGACAGGGTGCATGAGGCCCTGGCGCAGGATCGTCGTGACAACGGAGAGGGCGGTGAACCGGACTTGCGAAGACGGCACGAAGAACGTCTCCAGGATCTCCTTGAGGTACGACTGGGCCACGTGGCTACCGATGCCTGAGGCAACGTCACCCATGACCTTCAGCGACTCCTCCTTGTGTGTGGCTTTCCCTGTTCAAAATTAACATGGACGCACGTGAGAACGATGGCGTGGGCAGGCATGGAGTGCACTCAAACGTACATTTAGCGTCCTGCTCGAGCATTCGACGCTCCTCCTCCAAGAAGAAGCTCAAGAGGTTCTCAAGAATGAGACTCTTCAGCTCCATGTCGTTCTGCCTCTCCGAGTCGTGGTCTGCAGGGCACTGAAGGAGGTCGTGGTAGAACTTGCACAAGCGCGTGCCGCAGAGCAGCTCGTAGTGCCGAGTGCACAGGAAGCCCAGCCCAGCGAGAGCGTTCTTGCGCACCTCCAGATCAGAGGTCATCTTCTCCGAGAAGAACATCAGGGTCTCGAACACTTGGTTCAAGATCTTGGGCTAAAAAAACGAGCGAATGACTTGAAAGTGATTCACGGCAGACGGTGGGCGACGTAAAGAAGACGGACGCACCTCGGCTCCAAGGGAAAAGACCCTGGTGTCGAAGTGTTTGCACAACAGGCCCACCGTGAACAGCGCGCGCAAAATGGACGGCCGAAGCTTCTGTGGCAGCTTCGGCATTGACTCGCGCCCCGACGAAGCCGCGCACTCGTCGCGGACCTTGACCAGGGCGTTGAAGAAGCCCTGGAAACACTCTCTAGCGAGGGCGTAGTTCTTCGACACCCGGTTGACCACAGCGCCGAGACAGGCGACGCACGACTCGAGCACCATCTTGCCCTGGCGAAGCGTCAGACGCACAAGGTCCTCCTCCAGCTGGGCCAGAAACGTCTCCGATGGGTGCTCAACCAGAGGGATCGTCACCTCGAGGATTCGAGCGACGTAGTGAAGCGTGAGGGAGTCGAGGTGGGCGGAGCTGGGTGTGCCGGAGGGAGAGACGCGGGCCGAGAGGTAGGGCTGCAACAGCATGGCGTGCTTCACGGTCAACTGCGGACGGATCTTAGTGAAGAGGTGCAGAGTGGCGAGGCACGCGACTAGGCGTTTCGTCTGGCCTGGAATCTCCTCCAGTCGCATTATATTCTGCACCAGACACTCCACGATCTGCACGCAGGCCTTCTCGGCTGGCCGAACCTTTTCACTCTCCTCCTTCGTCAAAAGCTGTGGAAACGAAGGCAGATTAGGTTATAAACGGGATACTAGCATCGCACAGGGGGGGGCAGTCATTTGACTTACGGCCTCAAGAAACTGCTCTAGCCACTCGATTCCCGTGTCTTTGGAGGCGGAAACAACCACATCTGTGATGTTCATGACTTTGTGCAAGAGCTTCACTGACTCCTTCTCACGCACGGGCGTAAACCACAGCGTCTGGAAGACTTCACTCACGAGTTTCTGCAGCAGCAACGAAGAAAAACAGTATTGCATCACACAGCCTACTGAAATGATATAAGTAGAAAGGCATTTATCAACAGACCTTGACACTCTCCTCGTCATTCACACGACGGATGATCTTGACGCAGATCTCGGCGATCCGCGGAAAGTCCGGCTGTTCGACACAAATGTCCCGCAGGATGCGAATGACCCGCTTGCGCACGGAGACACCCTTGTCGCGTATGCGGTCGGACAGCATGGGGTAGTACTGGGCGGTGAGTTCGGGTCGGCAGACGAGGAAGCGTCCGAGCAAGTCGACAGCCGCCTCGCGCACCGACGTGGAGGTGTCCATGAGACGCGAGCGGACGGCCATCTCGATGTCCGAGCGGGCCAGAACGCCGGGATCGGCCTCGACAACCGCGGACAGGCAGCGCAGCGCCTTAGTGCGCACCGCCACCGACGACTCGCTGAGGAGCTGGAAAAAAAGAAAACAACATTACTACTGGTGCGACAAAAGTAGCAAGCAACCGCAAATCGGGGTGTACCTTGCAGATCTGCGACAAGTAGACGTCGAAGCTCTGTGAGAAGGGACGCAGACTAGCCAGGTACCGGCAGATGAGGTAGGCGTCCTCGTAGTCGATGGTGCCCTTGAAGGTGACACGCAGGGCCTGCGACTGCCGCGACACCTTCGTGGACGCCGCCGTGGCCGCCGAAGACAGGAACATCATGCCGGCGACTTTGGGTCGACATCGAGCTCGCCAGAGGGAGGGGGGGTCGCGGAGGCGATCCATGAGGTAGGTGCGACGCAGTTCAGCTAGTTCGACGTCAGTCAGCGCTACGCCCTCGCCCTCCTCCGCCTCGTCGTCCGAGGCCAGGAGGCATCGGCGTTTTCGACCGCTGCCGCCGACGACGCCGTTGCCACGACGACTACCAGGCTTCTTGCGGGCGGCACTCTCGGACGCCGGTTGTGCGGGGTTGTCCGAAGCGGCTTTGTGCGCCCGGTCCACTTCTGTCGCGCAGTCCTCCAGCCACTGGCCCATGTAGAACTTGCAGGCGTACTGGAAAGATACACACAGACTGTGCTGATGAGGCCACACCCTAAGGGCTGGGATAGACGATTCAACAGCGAAAGACCTACCACCACGACGGGATCTGACTCGTCCTCGAGGAGGTAGTCGAGCACGGCGTCGCGCAGGACGAGGATTTTGTCCATTTGGCGTAAGTTGACTTTGCTCGTCTTCGTTTTCTTCTTCTTCCTCTCCACCGCCTCCTCTTCCACATTAAGTCCGTTTCTCTCCACACTACCACCGGCTCCCTCCGCCTCCGCCTCCTCTTCCCTTCTCACCGAATTTGGTGCAGTCGAGGCCTGCTCCTCCTCATTCTCCACCTCATCCTCGTCCAAGTCATCCTCGCTGTCCGACTGGTTGCCTTCAGTGAGCTCGCGGAGGATGGCGTCGATATCGTGCTCCTTGAGTTGACTAGTGACGGCGTCTCGACGCAGCGTGGAGGCCACGGTGCCGAGGTAGTCGACACTGGTGACGCGCACCGACTGGTCGAGCGACTTGTTGTTGAACTGCTGCACCAGCAGACTCCCCAAGAGACTGAGCATCACCTCGGCCGCCGGCCACTCGGGCTTGTTCACGGTGAGGAGGAGGTCGTTGACGAAGTTCTCGAAGATGATGCGGTAGTCGTCCTCACCCCTGGTCGTCGATCTACCAAGGCAATGAAGCAGTTAATAAAAGGACAACCAGACAGTGAGGGAAAGGAAGAGGGAAGAAACTTACTTTCGGAGGAAAACTGACAGGAAGGTGTGCGCGGTGATGAGGGCTTTCTTGTAGGAACTCGTGACGAGAACCTCGTTGTCGGGTCTGCTGGCGACCGCAGCGTCCTGGCCTGACGCGGTCTCGTCTCCCTCCGTCTTCAAGTCGCCACCACCAAGCGTCCGTTGGTGGTGGACGTTGGCGCCGGTGGGGGGCAGTTCGATCACTGACTGCACCAGAAGCAGCGCCAGCGCCGTGAACATCTGGATGCTCTCCTCGGAGTTGAGTCTGTTACAAGAAGAAGATAACACTAATGTGGTCCCCGGTGACTTCCAAGAAAATACCTTCAACGAAAGCGCCAACTGACCTGTACGTACGAAGGTTCCGCTTGCTCGACGGCAGACGGGCGATGCTAGTGATGATGTCCTCGACAATGAGATTGCGATATGTTGGGTACTGCGCGAAGATGCCCGTGACGAGTTTGAGCGCCGCCAACTGCAGCTCGCTGACGTTCTCTACGAAGAAGATGGACACGCCGACGGAGCAGAGGGTGAGCACAAGGCTGTCAGTGAGTCGCTGGATGTTGACGAGTTCCGCCAGACCGGAGACAATCTCTACGAGGCGGTAGTAGAGGTGCACTATCGACGAGGGCTTGTGGGTGTCGCGTTCGCGAGCGCGTCGCGACTTGATGCTGCTTTGGTTGTCTGAAAGTCCAAGTCGGTGAGTGGTCAAAATCACAAGCCCTAACTCGCTACGATATACAAGTGTGTGTTAGTGCGAGAAAATGTACCTTTCGCAGAATTTTCGATTCTATAAGCCGGATCGTACTCCGGGTAGATGCAGTTGGAGAGTTGAAAACGCGTCACCTGGACAGCCTGCTCAATGACATCTTCCAAGTAGATCTCTCGCGGCATGTCCTTGGCCGTCATCAGGTTGACGGCTATCAGACTTGCGCTCACAGCCCTAGTAATCCTCTCCAGACTCTCGTGGTCCCCTGCGACTCGCACAACACTCGCTCCGTCGCGGATATTGAGAAGGAGGAGGGTAAGGAGTTTGACAAGACGGTCGGTGGGCACTTGGTTGGCGATCTGGGTGCTCTTCAACTTTGCCGCATCACGGCACAGCTCCGCGAGGTCGGAGGGCGAGATGATGGCCTCGGAGGGGGCGCAATCGTCGCCAGCGCCGCCGCCGCCACTCGCGAGGAGGTCCACTTCTTCCACGGCCTCGAGGACGCGGTCAATGTGGCCGAGGAATTTCTTCAAGCTGCTTACAAGCGCCGCGTCCGAGGCGCCAGAGACGTCGGAGAAGGTGGTTGGAAGCCTGTGGCGAACACGCTCGCGCACCGGCCTAGATTGTTCAGCGGCGACCTTTTGCAAGTGAGGAAAGCGCTGCTCCGCCGGCTCCTTCAGACGAACTAACGATTTGAACAAGAGCAACGGTTTCAAAAATGGAACGCCCCACTTAAATCATGAAAGCGCCAATCGTGTGGGACATTAACGCACACTCAAACGGAGCGTCATCTTCATCGGCTTTCCGTCGCCTGCGAGACCCACCCGCGTCTTTGTAGCAGTCGTCGTCCGCGACGTCCTCGACATCATCGTCCATGCCGGCGTAGGAGCAACGACCGCCGGTTCCGGCTACTGTTCCACTGGCTCCGGGACCAAGGCGAGACGAGGAGCGCAGGCAAGCTGTCTCGTTGTCCGAGGACGGCTCTTCACCTCCCGCAACACCCTCGCCAGAAGTCTCCAGATCACCATCGCTGTCGTGACGTGGAAGGGGTCTGATGATGCAAAAGATAGGAAGAACTCTGCTACACAGCCGTTCATTGGTCAGAAAACACGAAAAGACTGACTTAACACTGATTGCCACCTAATGTGGGTGTTTTTAGGCATTATGATGTGCACGAAAGGGACCACGGAAACGTACTTGGGGTAGTCCTTGTCATTTTCCAGAACGTAGTCAGCCGCAAGAGCAGTGGGCTGACGCGTCATGCGTCGACGTTTGTTGCGCAAGTAGTTCGTGTGTCGGTCGACTGCAGCGTCCCAAGCCGAGGACTCGTCTGAAAGGCGATCCGAATTTTTTTGTCCTGGGTACTTCACCGTCCAGGTCCGTAGGCCCTCCACTTCGTTGCACCTCCGTCCTAAGGAAAAACGGCCGTTTGTAGCACTCTTTTTTACCCAAACAGGACTGCGATGAGTACCGTAGATCGAAAACCAAATACACACACTTAGACGACCCACCTTGTGCGCGTCTTTCATGAAAATTTTGGACAAAGGATTTTGGAGATGATGGTAAAAGTTCTCGAAGCAGCCTTTTTAATGCGCGTGAGTTATAAAAGCAACAACTACTACCAACGGTTGCTTATACAACCCGCGTTCCATGGCACAACAGCTGGTAACGGATATTGGTGGTTTGATTTACTAAACACTGATACTGAGAAACGGATTTACTGCGCTAGCTGACTTAATACGAGTTTAAAACGAGTTGTAGGTCAAAATTGGCAATGAAAGAGAAAATTAAGGCGCTTACGTTTACTAACTTGGGCCCTGCGTCTGGCAGAAGGCTTGGCAGGGGCAGATTTGGCGATTGGCGTGGGTAGAGGTTTGGAAGAATTGAGATAACTCGCTAACCCCAAAGGCGTGGCCTGAGAAGCGTTGGATTCTGACATTTTCTGTGGGGTCGACATGCTGAGCGAGGCATTGTGAAGGTCAGATATGTGCTCCAAAAAGTTTGCCGGTGGTTTTGCATCATATTCCAAATGCGAGGCAATCATAAAAGAGCCGCGGTACACACCGCCATCATCAGCTCCCTGCATGGAAGTGTGGTGGGGCGCGGTGGGAGAGAGATTGGACAACAAATCAGCCGGTAGAAAATCATTGTAATTCTGCGATGAGGAGTTAAGTGGATGGCTGGTCGAAATTGAGTGAGAGATTACAGAGGAGGGTAAATCCTTCAAAAAATTCTCCGAAAAGGCAGTAAAATCGGGTTTCTCATGGTCAAAGACGCCCTGAAGGTCAAAAGAGTGGGGAGATTTGACATCTCCTAACACAGAAATTCGGTCAAGTATACTATGAGGGGAGTGCAAAGTAGGCGGCGGGAGTTTCCGATTGAGCTGATCGCTAAGGGCAGGGTTGGGAGAGGGAACGAGGACTGGTTTAGCAGTCATTGGAACCCCATTGCTTGAGGGTAATGCCTGGACTTTTGTAGAACCATCCTCCTGCATTAAATAACTTTTTTCGCGACTATGGTGCCGTTTTCTGTCGCGGTCTTTCGGTTTTTTGTGCTTCTTTTCTTTCCTCTCCTTGTGACCGGTGTCCGGTGAGGTCGCGGTGTCACTGATTGTTGGCCGTTTAAGCGAGAATTTAAGCAAGATCTTCTTCTCGTCGGGTTTAACGTCAACACTGACGCCGTAGGGTGTTGGAATTCGAGTATCGTCAGCAGCTGCAGGGAGACCGTCGCCTGTTGAACCGCTAGGAGTGGCAGCATTTGATTCTCCCCCACTTGAAGCTTCCGTTTTCCGCTTCTTTCGCTTCTTACGCTTGTGCTTCCGTCTGGTTGGAGATCCACCAGCTTCGTCGTAAGCTAAAAGCAAGAAAACGCATTCACAACGCAAGAATGTGAACCAGGCCCAGAAACATATGCACACAATTGGCAACTTTTAACATTAACTAATCTTTCGAATATGGTGAAACTTACAAGCTTGACGAACATCGGAGTCAGTAGGGTTTTGTTGACTGTCCCATTTAAAATCAAGGGAGTTCGGCTTGTTCAGTGGGGGGTTTGATTGAAACACTGATGCATTCCGTTGGAGTACAGAAATAAGAAGTGGTGGTGGTGCCGCATTTTCGAAAGACTCCGTGTTTTGTTGCTCATCGAGATCGCTACACAAGAGATTAGGCAAAATAACTGACATACATGTTGTCCGTTGACACTTTTGACAACGTTTCAGTGATGCAAGCAATCAGCGTTTCATCCTTTGAGCACAGACACCGCATGGCATCGTTCGATATTGCTGGATCCGAGAGAAAACTATCACTGCCAGATCCAAGTGGGAACGCTGATGGCAATGGAAGTTCTGGAAGAATATCCGTTAAACTAAAGACAGCTCCCAATGATTGGATTGGGATTCGACTAATGTCACCGTTCATGATCCCTAAAGACACATAGAATGGCGCAGTTAGCATAGAAATTCAGCAACAATATTACAGAATGAAAACATCAATACAAAATGGAGTATACTAAAGCAAGGGGAGATCTTAAAAAGGGACATCAAAAGAATAAAAATCTTAGAAGTGGTAAACGTACTTTTTTTTCACAAACAGTCAAATCATCAAGTCATTGGACAGAAAAAATGAAGAGACAGAAGGCTATCGGCTTCCCCTATGCAGACATGTTATAACCAAACAGTGCATTTAAACAAGAGGTGCTAGAGAAATATTCTGTTATTTCATATTAATTTATGCATAATAGCATCCCACATATTTAAGAATTCTTAGTAATAAATGCTTACAAACTATTTTTTACTGATTACATATTTAGTTCAGTCCAAGCAATCAACCAAATGTCATTTGAGTGTTTCGTCTCAAAATCGGCTTAAAATGGAACGCAGACTGGATGTTTGAACAGGTATTACATCTTGTCAAGATACAAGTACATGCAGATTTATATTGTGTAATGGCATCTGCATGTGCATATGTTTACGCCTTACTCGAAAATTGTAAAATTTTCGGAATTTCTACTAATGCAATCTTGTGAATATTGCCTGTAACCCTGTATTTTGAAAGTAATCTTAACACGATTAATCTTTCACTAATGTACTACAACCGAATTTTAAAGAAATTACAAGGATTTTTTATTAAATATTTCACTGAGTATTTACGGGTTCGATGTACTATTGGTTATTGTGGTTCTGTTACATGACAGTCAATTGCGAAGGTTGTGCACAATTACAATTTTAAATAGCCAATATTTAAATTAAATGTTGAGTGTAACAATTCAGTCTATAAGTAAGGTACTGCATATAGGATCCAAGTCTCGATAATAAACCAAGTGTTCAACTTCGTAAAAATAATGCGATGTAATTATCAGTCGGTTGCTGCGACACATACATATTTATTTTTTCTTTGTTTACCACTTTATTATTCGCTTCCTAGTTAGTTAAGACCTTACAAAGTCCAAGATGTGTCCTGCTCATCTCCCACTAAATGACAATGTGAAGAACAAAGCCGCAATTTAATACACCAGAATTCCTGCCAACCTTCATCAAGGTCCTTCGCAGTCACATGCTTTCAATCTGTTAATTGTAATCCGGAATCAGTACAAACACGTGACTTCAATGTCAATATATTCCATTTTTTAGCAATATATGCTAGCCTTCTTTTCAAAAAAATTGATCGACATCACCTCCACATTGAGTAAAAGGTTAAATAAATGTTAAAAATCATAAAGTTCCCATTCAACGTGTGTGCTCAAAATATTTTCAAAATTGTCGTTAAGAAAACTTAAATTCTCTACTTTTTTATTTATTTTTTTATGTTTTTTAGAGATTGATATACTTTTTAAACATGTAGCATTTAAAGCTAGCTTATCGAAATCTAAAAGGATCTTATTCCGCACAGCCGAGCAATATCTCACTATACCATGGGTATTGTATCACGCCGAGTTTAAAAAATGTGTTTAAGTTTGAAAGATCTCGTAAAAGACCAGCAACCCTTCGGAGGCAGTGATGGATTGCTGGCAATATTTAATGATACCCATAGCCGGTATTTTGAACTTATGTATGCAGCGCCTAATGGACGGTTCCCGCTTGTGGTTGGTTACAAATTTGTCGACGATTAAATACCAACATGGGAAAGCTCTCTTAAAGCAATCAAGTATTTGCCAAAACTGTAAATTTTTTCACTGACATAATGCACATAATTATGTTCAGAGAAATTAGTTTAGGTTTCGAATAATAATTTTGACAATTATGTTGGTAAATGCAGCAATTTCAAAAAAATTGGCTTTTGCTATCGCCCATCAGCAAAATCTGCAGCAATTTCTTGATATTACATTAGAAACACGTGAACACTGGAGGAAAATGAGAATTCCAGGCTCCAATTATGGACAATATACGTATATATTTCAATTTGGGCTTGTATCCCAAAACGACAACAACTGCTTTAGTGTCTGACAGCCAGAGGGATTACACTTATCTTCATAATATGTGCAAGTAAACAGACGGTAGGAATTATTGAATTGCTCATATATCTAAATAAAGAATGAAAATAGAGTAGCACTAAGAGGATAAGAATACGAGAGGAATATATGATGCATATTGCCATCTAACATTTGTTTTATAATGAAAAAACCGTGACAGATTCAAACATAAAATCGGGACCACTGCAGACGAGAGTGCCAAATTATAAAAGCAACTGAATTGAGAACTAAAATCCATTAAGGATCTTTGTTAAGAAAATTTGTACCTTAGTCACACATTTCACAGATACACTGCCTGCGAACAACTTAGGCAAATAATCTATGCGGAGGACTAAACCAAAATAAGTTATTCGAATTGCCTTGAATTCCCAAATATCAAGAATTTAATAAATATGTTTTTTGAAGGAAATAAGGCAGAAATTAGATTTTCTTAAAACTGATTTAGATTAGAAAATAAAGCGTTTTAATATACCATTCCACCCAACTTTATAAATTTAACTTAATTGAAATCGACCTTGAATTGTGGTATTGGATTTTCGTGAACTATTCATATCATGATATTCCTCATTTAAATTTAATTTTCTGGAGTTGACCGATGGACCAAAACATAGCAGACATAGTTACAGTATCCACGCTGCTTGGGTACGTTAAAATAAAATGTTCACAGTCAACAACTGTTGAAGTAAGTTTAAATATCAGCATGCATTAATATTTGTAGGAAATAACGAAGGCTGCAGTTAAAAAAGTTTCAATATCAAACACACCTTCCATGTTTGGTCTTGAGATACAGGAGGCTCCATTAAGTATCGAAGACCGTCAATTCTTATGTCCTAGCTTAACATGGTCTGAGATTGCTGGATTGGCAAATGCTCAAAATATTCTTTTGTCAATAAGATATTTTCCTACTAATTTTGAAGATTATGTTCGAAAGGATCGTTCTGCATTATATTACTTACACGAACAAGCAAGACCTTGCTAATTGCTGACAGAATTCTCTGAAGGTTAACAGATTTTACAAATATGTTTGGGAAGACTGCAAGGATAGTCAAGCCTGTTTTGAAATAGGTTGCCTTGAAATTAAGTAAGTGGTTCATTGACAGTAAACAATTTTAAAAGACTGTCTTTGGACTCTGAAATAAACGACGAAACACTGGACCAGCTTGACAAATCTAGAGACATTTCTAGCTTTTTTCCATCACAAGTTCTTCACCACCAGAAAGTACACAATCTTCGATTTTTTTATAAGTAACTAGGCAAAATACCTTCGACGGGCCATTTTAAATTATGCTCCATCAATCCATTACTTCTCCAAAGAGGACTGTATGCTAGAACGATTGAACCGGCTGCTGATTCTCACTCAATTTGATAGCAGTTCATACGCCTGCTTCCTTGGTGTAAGTATTGCCCCTATTGTCTGATTATTTTTTTAAAGAAATTAAACTGTGAAAATTTGAAAAAAAATTGCGTTTTAGTGTAAAATTGGTACTCGCAACCTCTTATTGGTTGTTAATTGTGTCCTTAAATATTTACAAATGCTGCGTAGTAAAGGCTCCTAGGAAACCCACACATACACCTAGCGCTGAGTATTGAAACAAAAAGTACTATTAAAGTATGATTAAAGTTAAAAACAATGTGACTGTTTGTGGGTTGTTTTAAGTTGTTTTTTTAAATTAGCATGAAATCTGCATACATAGAGGTGATGAAGATAAGCGGCACCAGAGCGGGAAAAATGTAATAGTTTGAGCTTATTTTTTCATATATTGTGACAAATGTTTTAGGCAAACTTATATAGATATAAATAATGTAATTTGCCTTCGTTATGTAGTTAATTACTGAAATTGTTTCAAGTGTTTTTAGTTTTTATTTGCTAATATAGCTGCAGGAAACCATGCTTTATCTCCGAACTGAATTGTTTGTAGTAATCTGCAGTCTTTTTTGGTTAGAATAAACTAACAAGGTAATTGATTATTTTTTCTCTTTGTCTAGGCAGGACTGGGCATACCGGTTCGATTAATTTTGGGTCCACGATCTCAGGTTAGAGTCAATATCGGGAATACAAAGGAAGTAAGTTCAGCCGACATGTGTATTCTGTTCAAGTTTCTTTGACTTGTGGCAACTGAACTAGACAAAAACATGTTTTTTTCGGCTAACTAGCAATGCAATTTAATAACGGAATGGGATAATTTTAGCCGCCACACATTGTGCACTGTTGCGTAGGAAAGTGGCACGTGACGTTGTACCGGTTCAGTGAAATCTTCGCCTTCAAGGCAACCAAGTGCTCTTCGACTGCCCCAACTAAGACGCGTATCCTTTGCCACCGGACACCCAGCTGCCATTTTTCACACTAGCATTATTTAATGTGTGCGTGTGTGTGTACAAGCAGACCAGCGCACTTGCAGACTGAGTCACCGCAGTTCGCGTGTGTCCGTTCTACCCCCAACCACCCATCCGGGTAATTACATGCTTCACATCCAGGCCAAATCCCATCAGCGCCTTCTGACGTAAACTTTATAACACCTTCACTTTTCCCGAGAGGGGGAGTCAGTGGCTAATGGAATTCGTGTCGCTAGACGGAGATTGCAGCTGTTCCCTCTCTCCTTGACGCTAAATTTCCACCGTCACCTGACGGCGTTGATCTCTGACTTATCTCAGGAAATTGTTGCAGTGAATACGGAAGGCACGCCAGACATTTCGGTCCACAATAACAAAAACCTAGAGAATTTGTTAGATTTTCTAACTGGTATGCCCATTTCCAGGTGCGCAAACGATTATTTGCTGGTGACTAACCAAGTAATATGCTCCTTCTTTATGGGGTTAGATTTTTAACGTTTGTTGTTACCGAGTCGTGCGTTTTTTCCGATCCGCGTTGTTGATTGGTTGTAGTAAGGAAGTTAATTTAGGCGCATGTACAGAGGTTCACCTCAAGGTCAAGTGTGTTATTGGCTGATGTCGGATTCTAGGTGCGAATGCTCTGCTACTTCGCCAGTATCGGACAAATCTTGTTCTCTGAGGTGACACGAAAGGAGGGTCGACGGTATCAGGTGAAACTCATCCTCTCCAACGACCCTGAAGCCGGCCAGCCAATCATCTTCACGTTCGACTCCAAGCTGTCCGCGGACACCGTAGTTCACACCCTCGAGGGCTACTGCAAGCTCTCGCCAGACATGCGAGACAGTGTCAACGTGGAACCACCAATGACGGCGGAGCACGCTTCCCTTCTTTCTGCCGGGTGTCCGTTTCGGTGAGGTTTGACTTGATTTTCAGTCTTCAGAGCGGCTTCACGTTGTAAGACCTTGTAATCTCATTCAGTGAAGGTTGCAACTTCATTCTTCTTTTTACGAAAAACCGGATCCCCCTTGAACTCTTACGGTGTCCTTTCTGTTAGCTACCACCATACCGATCTCGCAATCACATAACTTTGCCAGAGATGCACTTTTCATGCGGTTCGGGTGAACATCAAACGCGACTCCGTCACTGGCACACGAAATCGCGAGGATGTGTGCCGGCCTTGTGATTACACGGAAGCAGATACGCCAGTACGAAAGGAAATCACACACAAGTGCACTCCATTAGGCGGCATTTTCGTGTTCACCAGAAAAAAAAATTGACACACACGCTGATTTGTTTTCCCCAGCTTCAGCCTATCGACGGCTCCTATTGACTGGCGTATTTGTGAAGACGTGATGCACATCACTAATGTATCGATCGATGAGTTTGTTATAACCAATCACTAAGGCGGTAGTTTGAATTCAAACAGGTTGAGAATAAAACCGATATTCTAATTTAAGGGTGCTATCTACTAAGGTTGTTTTGTTTTATTTTTCAGACCCCAATCGTCAATATCCGCTTTTGACCAGAGTATGTTATACTTTTGTGTAATCTAAAGTAAATCTGTTTCCGACATCCGACATCTTGATTACGCGGCCTACTTAGCCTGCTTGTTGAAACGTGATTTTCAGCTTTGGACTTTGGACATTGTTCATAACTTAAAAACAGTTAAAATGGCGACTGGTCGCATTTCAATTACATCAATTAATATTGTTATGCTACATTTTGTCACTTCTATGTTGATTGGTAATTTATTGATTAAATACCCGTGTTGCGTGCAACTGTGACGATGCTGTAAGTGAGAGGGGCTCATTCGCGCACACGCGCTTAAAAATCGCGCTTTTTAAAAAACCTTACAGCTGGCAAATCAAATCAGACCAACGCCAGTCTCCTTCGATCGCACATCACCCTGGAACGCGTCCTAGGCGAGGGACAATTTGGTGATGTCTACAAGGGCGCCTATAGACCCCCCGTAAGTTGAACTGACGCTTTCTCTACTTTGAACGACTGCTCAAGGTCATTAAAAGTCGGCTTTGTTTTGAATACCTGCCTTTCCTAATCTCAAAGTGAAATCAAACACTTATTGATGGCTCCACGGTTTGACCCAATCAAACGCGGGTTTGGAGCCGGTTTCAGCCAATCACCTTTCGGAACTAGACTTTATGCTCGATATCTGTGCAAGCAAACACTTTTGTGAGAATTAGCCGATCAAATAGGCCACAGGAGGTGAGCACTCCACGGCCACTAGCGTGTGTGTGTGTGTGTGGAGTGTAAGCACTCCACACACACACATACACACGCACTCACACACATACAGTGCATTGACTGCGACGTGAATTTTGTTTTACTAAATTAAGTCAGCGCTCACTCGCCTCACACTCATGTGACTGCCAAGTTGCGCACTCGCAGTGCACTTTCCTCAGAATACGAGGTGCAAAATCCCACGGTTTTTTATCACCTCAATTGGTTTAATAATTATAATAATGACAATTTGTGTGACTCGTGGGAAACGCCAATTTGCGTAGCTGGTACGTGAGCTACCTCACTGAAACTGACGTTTTTGGGGCTGTGATGAATTACTACTCACCCCCACGCGAACACCTGGCACAATAGTGAACGGTTTTGGGGGGACGAATTAGCCAATCAGCTTAAAGCAAATGTGTGTGTGTGTGAGTGGAGTGCTTACACAAGCACACGCAGAACACTTACAAGATTTCTAAAAGCCCACAAATATGGCTGTAGCGAGTGCAGATTGACTTTCAATATTCCACATTCCTCCGTCGCCTTGAAAAATACGCCATTAGCGCGAGACAGATCAAGTGTGCCAAATTGCAGCGGCGTCATCTCGCGTTCCGGGGGTAGACGTGACTTCAAGTGCCGATTTTCTGCCTCTGTACATTTTGCAGGGTGCTGCGCCGGAGGCAGACAGACACCGTTTTTTTATTATCGAAAGCCGTCCAAAGGGCGCGCGTCAATTTGCAGTTAATTTAAACAAACAATTTTATTCTTACCCTCGCCAGGAGGCTGGATCGTCCAATATTCCGGTCGCTGTGAAAGCCTGCAAGGTTGGCCTTGGC